TTCTTGTCAATACATTTCTTGTTCTTAGTCTATTTTCAAGAATCTCTAGTCTTCTTGTCTTTCGCAATAGCCATTCTAATTCTAATATATTACTATCTTTGAGTGAATATCTACTATTTTCAAGTGATTTAAGAATGTATTAAAGTTTTTATTATTTGAAATTTATGCCCTTGAAAATTATAGATTGTTCTTAGATATAAACAATCTAAATTATTCTACTTTACAACATGTTATATAAAATGTTATAAATCAATGTAATATCAAATAATTTTTAATAAATATCAAAAAAAAATATACGTTAAGAAATAATACTTGATTTGTTATAAAACATAGTATTTATTTGATTTATTCTTTGATTTATTGTAATTAACATTCACTTTATAAATAAAAATATGACAAAATAGCTTTTTTAAAAATTTTGAATTTTTTTTATTAATTACCATACAACCTTCTAGATATAATATTCACTTATTTTTTATTAACTTTTATTCAAATTTCACTTCTTTTTTATTAACTTTTTATTAAGTTTAAACATGATATTGCATCATAACAATGAAAATACACCATAAAAATTAAATAAATGAAAGGAAAAAATAAATCAAAAAGAAATTGTATATATATATATATGGCTTGAGACATAATTTTGTAAGTAATTAGGACTAACATTATTTAATGAATTTTTAAAATAATACTATGACTTGTTGTCATTTGATTATATTCTACAGTACTTATATTTAGTTTATTAGTTAATAATAGTATGTGTGTTTTTTTTCCCTCTTTCTTCTTCTTTTTTTCTTTTTTTTTTTCTTTTTTTTTTTTTTTGTTTTTCTTCCTTTGTATCTGTAGCTCCAAGTAATATCTGTAAAACTCAGGAGGCAAATAGAATATTAAAGTATTGCTTTAATTGTTTTATATTCTCCTATCTAGTGCCTACAATACCAAGAAAAGCTTATTTCAGAAGGCATAATAATAATAATAATAATAACAACAATAACAACAATATGTACCATTAGTTGTTGGTAAGACTGTGCAATATATTTTCCAACCTAAATTTCACAACATGTTCCCAGATAAATGAATATTACTGTAGGATTTTCTCTAGGCACTAAATACACCAGTTTAAAATTTTATTGTGCTAAACATAGCAACATCAAATAAATAAATAAAAATCGCATACTACACTCAAAGAATAGTAGGGCACCCATAATGTATTTCGCTTCATGCATCCAGAAACTCCAAAAAGGACCATGTACCTTTAAAAGAGACCAACCACAACCATGGTACGCCTTCTTTCCTTCTTAGAACCTTTTCTTTCTTCGTAAAACGTTTTCTTTCCACGAAGAGCATTTTCCTTTCAGACTGCCGTGGCCCAAGCCGGCCCGGCGTCTTGCCGCATCGGTGGATCCGCTGCGGCCGCGTAGTTGCAATCCCCAGCTTCATGGCAATCGATCGAGTCGGATATGGAGTTCTGCCAGCGTTACTCTCTCTCTTCTCCAACGACATAGCTGCTCATAGATCTCAGATTTTTCCTTTTTAACTTTGGATTGGAGTGGCACGAGATTGCAAACTGCGAATCGTTTCGTCGGGTGCTGGCTGTAACTGCTCCTCTTTCTTCTTCGTGAACCTTGCGATGTGGAGCCTTTGTTTTTTTGTTTTGTTTCTTTGACTTCGTCAAGTTCAACGCCGACTAGTTCTAGACTCGTTTTGTGTGTTGTGCCCTCATTATGGGCCCTTGTGATCTGCTTCGTTTCCGCCGAAAAAAGTAGGTGGCAACAGGCTCTTCAAGGACATAGCAGAGTTGGGGAAACGACACAGGAGCCAGTTTGAGTTGGATCGAAGTGGGTGTTTCGGGTTGTCTAATTCGGCATTTGCGGTGTGTCCATGATAATGCTGAACCCACGAGCCCCACCACATTAGCAGATGACTTGACCGACACCTCAATGTCTTGTAAAAGAAGAGGGAGCGCCATGCGCCGGGTTCATCTCACCATCCATCCTTGCAGTCTCCCCAAGGCCAGTGAGATTGAACGAACCCTCGGACCAGGACCGACCATAGACCAGCAAAGCAACACAACGGACGCGCTTCGATGCAGCCACTGAAGCAGACCTTGGAACAGTTCCATCTGCAACTGCAAGTTCCCATCGAACGCGGCGCCTCAGATGAAGGCAGAATCGCACATAACAAACTGACTCGAAATCCCCGTAGCAGTTGGAGATCTTGCCAATGTACGCTGCGGGAAGAGGCGACGCGGATGTAGCTCAAAATCACGGCATGACTGTGTTCCCCCTCATCACTTCTTAACGCATCCGTTTCCAGATTCCACGCCGAAGTATCTTCACTACTTTTAGTCTTCTCTCTCGCTCTCGTACGCTGACAAGACCGATGGAGAATGTGTGCGTGGGTTCAATCACATGCTAAGAACAATGCACTGGCTTGTTCGTGTTTGGCCGTGAGAAGCAGCATGATCTATCCATCTATCTACCTATCTACCGAGATCGGCATTTGGGTTGAGAGCATGGGATGTGTGCCCCCGACGCAATCTAGGAAGCGTAGATCCGACAGATGGACCCACTGAGCACCGTGACCTGATCTAGCATCAACCCAATCGCTATTAAAGCTCTCAAATCTGATGCACGACGAAAGCTCTCGGTCAGCGATGCCGTGCAGCTCCCGCATCTAAGCACCTTTATTGCAGTCAGTAGCTTCTGCAGTGGCTGAGGCCTTGCCTCGACCATGTCTGTCGGTATCATTACTTGACAAACTCAGACTGAGAAACACAATCCAACCCCCTTCAACTTGTTACATAAATTGCTCTTTCGGCGTTGTGTTTGTTAATGATTTGTTGAAATGTTTTGAGGGGACTTGTGGTGATCATTTGGTTGGTTGAAAGTGTTACTGTGACGTTGTTTTATTGCTTGTTAAAGTTGAATATGCTCGTCGTAGATTGACACCCACTTGGGTACCTTTTGTCTTTGTGAGTTATTGAAGTACTTTGTACAGAGAATTGTTGTCAAGTTCCTTTTTATTACTTTTCTCATGTTCTTTCTGTCATGATTATAATCTTTTGAAGATTTGTGTTTGGTGAGATGAATATGTAAACTTTCTTCAATTAGATGTTCTCAACGTAAATCCCTTGCAAGATGTTTGTGACATTTTCAGCTGCCACAGTTTTTTGATAAAAGAATAACAGTAAAAAAACTCTTACTGTTGACGCGAGTATCCATCCATACATGATAGTGTGGAAGGGTTTATTTAATCGGAACTTGGTAATGTGGTTGTTATTGTTGTTGTTGCTATTTCTCTCTTTCTCTCTTGCTTCACATGTATACCAGCTCATTCTTTTGCAACCCCGTTTTTTGTGTATAGTCAGCTTCATACCTATTTGCAGAAGTAGTCTAAGAATTAAACAATTTTGAAGGATTGAAACATAACATATTTGTCTATTTATTTAATCTTACCCTGTGAAGATATCTTGTATACAATTAGGTCGACAAGTAGTATTTAATTTTACAGACACGAGCTGACATACTCAATATCAATCATGAGAGGCAATACATCATTTCTAAAATAGCCTGATTTTTCTGAGATTGTTGTCTTGTTTCATAAAAAATGTTTTCATAAAAGGTAATATTTATATGACAAAAAAAAAAAAAAAAAAAAAAATCTTTGATAGCTAAATTGTCTTTACTGTATCTACCTTGAAACTCTAATGAATGACCTTTCACTTAACTTCTCAAACTAAATTCAATTATATTTTTTTCTTTAACAAAACTCAGCGATCCTTCATAGTTCAACTATACGTCTTAAATAGTTTCTTGGTAAATTTTTCCCATGTTGAATATAGTTAGTTTTACATTTTATTCCATTAGCAGATTAAATCTCCAAACATCACTATTATTACATATCATTGATTGTGTGCAACCTTCTAATATCCAAGTTGTAAAAAACCCAAATTAACCCCCCCCCCCAAACATGTTCAGCACAATTGGAGAAAGGTCCATATATTCTTTTAATATTGTTCTTTTGTGAAGCTTTATACATTACTCAACAAAATATTATTGGTAGATCTGGTTAAGGTAGACGACTATTAATTACTTATTTTTTGTGTAAAAAACATATTGAATGAAAAATATACGGTATAATTATTTGAAAAATGTAAGGCATTATGATTTGTACTCAAAACTTGGTTAAAATAATCAATAAACAGGGTCTATTCCATTTACAAAACCTTTGCTTAGGAATAGGGATCGATGACACCTTGGTAACAATATCCATTCATCAATTTACCACATACAATCATTCTATGTTCATCTTAATGGCATGAGAAATAAAATAAAAGGTCCTCTCTTTTTAATTTTAGCTTTAAATTCCTAATTGTAACTTTTTAACATAACTTTAACTGAAAATTGACCTTTTACTTCTACACTTCAATATAAACATGTCACATCTATGAATCAACCTAATTCAACCAAAATGAGCTAATTACTTTAAAAGTCATTTCATCAAAAAGAAAAGAAAATTTAATTTTAAGGTTTGGTGAAAATCCAAATGTTAAAGTATGAAGATATGGAGGAAGTGTTTGACCAATGTCAATGCACACACAGCCCACAAATAAAAGAGAGACCATGACAATCTTATTAAAGAAATTAAACCGTCAACGGAGGACTAAAAAGAAGGACCCAAAAGGATAAACCCAAATTAAAGCAAAAACGCCAAAAAGCGGAAGCAAATCACAGGGAAGCGATCGTCACAGGACAAATTAAAGACGCGATCCAAAAAGTAAAAGCATAGGCCCGCGCGGAAGAATAGGACGTGCTTGGCTGGCACCAAGAAGACCGGGCCCGCGATATCGCCCCCGCACCCGTCGGATTTGCCTCCAGCTGCACCAACGGCATCCATCCATCTAATGACGAACAGCGTTCATCTTGTTTAGGATGACAATCATTCACTTTCCACTTTCCTCTGCCCTCAGTCCCCCATCTTACTCGCCTCTCCCGCCGTTGTCCCCGCTCTTCATCTTCCCCAACTGCGGCGTCGGATCATCCTCGTTACCCCCTCGCATTCGCTCCTTGTACCCTCCCAGAACGTTTTGAGGTCGGTGTCGATTCGAGCTGTGCCCGAGCGCGATTTTTAAAGAGTGTTTCGAGGGATTTCGGTGCCATGTGGCCGCAGTTTGGGATTTTTTTTTTTTTTTTTTTTGAGGGGTGGGGGGCTTGGTAGGTGATTGTTCCTCGACCGATTGGCGTCAGTGGGTCGTAAGCCAGGGTAGCTGTGAGCGTGGAGGATTGTGGGTTTTTAACGTGTAGGGTCTAGTGTCTGGTTTGCACGTGTTTTCTGGATGACTGCGTGGTTTTGGGTTGGCTGTAGGGACTTGCAGCTGCTGCAGCAGTGGGGACAGGATAGTTTTTTATGGCGATTGAATCGGCGTTTCGAGGTAGTGGTTCTTAACTCTGTGTGGTATTCGCCGGAAGGAACTGTGTGAGGTGGCTTAGAGATCAAGGATTTAGAGATCTTTAATGTTCAGAGGCGCGTGATCATCTGGAGGTCCCGGTGGCTGAACCGGGAGTTAGAGAGTGGAATATTACCCTTGGTTGTGCAGGTCCATGTACAACTTATGCAACTGGTGAGGAATCTGGGTCAGCCGTCCATTCGAAAACCTGGAATTTTCTCAGGCCTTATGCGGGGCACTTTCTGATTCTAAGATATCTTGCTTGGAGGCCCTTCACGAAGCTCGTGGAATACGAGGAGCGGAATGTGGTGGCTTCATTACAGCAAAGTTTTTTTCTCTTATTGCGGAAAAAGAGTGATTCTATGATGGGGATGTCTATGCTCTTACATGGTCACCATGACGGATGGGATTGCTGACGTAGTTGGAAAGGTGAGTTGAGTTTCCATAGGCTTTCACCCGCAGCCACTTTTCCTCCTATCAGCCCTGGTTGTTAGATCAATCTGTGGATTTCGGAACTCCACAGATTAACGGGTGTCGAACGAATAGAGTTCCAGTCTTGCCTTTCAGAACAGCATCAGTTCATGTATGAGCCCAGCTTGGAATTTCACACCAAAATTTGGACGTTGCTCTGCGTAGCATCGATACTATCGAGAATGTTAGTCTGTAGTCCTTTCTGAAGGAAGCGTGTAGTGTGCTCATGAAATTCACTGTGAAGATATTTTTGTGAAGGCGTTACTGGAGACCGTTCTTAGAGAAAATTGTAAACCTAACACAGCTGTCTATAGGATTGAGTATTGCAAGAGATAAATTTGACGTCGTTCGTTTCCGCATATGGGGTCACAGAAGCTATGTAGGACTGTCCTCGGATACTGCTAAATCTGATAATGCGTTAAGTTTAATACGTACACATGGGAGTAAATTTTCTGCAGATGACATGTTTAGTATAACATTCTTCTGACAAGCGTGTGATCTTTTTGTATCTCCAGGAATACAGCGTTGATTGTGCTTCTGGTTCGCAATGCTGGGGGTTAGTTAAGATTAGTTCAGAGCAGCGGTGAGCTTCGATACAGGGTTGAAACGAACAGGAAGAGTGGTTGATATTGAAGAAATTGGATTGTGTGCTGGTTACAAGCATGACGGTCCCGGAATGCCCCAAGGGTTCTGATCCAAATCGCCAGACGGATATATTCCTGAATGTATACGACTTGACTCCTATGAACAGTTATGTATACTGGGTGGGCCTAGGGATTTTTCATTCAGGTATCGAAGCGCATGGTGCGGAATACGCTTTTGGCGCTCATGATTTTCCTACTAGTGGTGTGTTCGAAGTTGAGCCTAAACATTGCCCAGGTTTCACGTATCGGAGGTCGGTGCACCTTGGGACGACGAGTCTAAATTCAGTCGAGTTCCGGAGTTTCATAGAGCAATGTGCAGATGAGTACTATGGGGATACATATCATCTTATAATCAAGAACTGTAACCATTTTTCAGATGATGTTTGTAGAAGATTAACTGGGAAACCTATACCTGGATGGGTAAATCGCCTTGCGAGAGTAGGCTACATGTGTAACTGCTTGCTGCCCGAAGGGCTGCAAGTTACAGCCACTGAAGCTCCAGAATGCCAGCATGCAAGTGCAGAGAATGTTACTCAATATTCGGAAGAGAAAGAGGTGGTGGAGAGTGAGAGTGATCAGGAGCGTGCTTTGATTACTACGCCCAGTGGCAATACTCAGATGTTAATGAGGGACAGCTTCAAAGAGGTTGTTTCGAAACCTATGATAGTTGGACTGACTTCCTCGTGACCCCTCATTATCTGTTGTCTTTTTTAACATAGTAGTGGATATTGAACTTGAGCCTTTCTTTACTGTTCACTCACGGAGGAGTGCAAGCACGTTCATCGAGTAGCTTAGCACCATTCAGGCTTGGAAATGTTCACTTTTTCAGGAAATATTATGTCTGTGAGGTTTGGAGATAGCTGTAGGTGCTGTTTTTGGTCACATACTCACGGGTGCTTGAAAATTTTCCCAAGTTAGTATGTGTACCGTTAGAATGAGAACTACTGCGCAGGATTTGATTTCAGTTATTAGTTGTTGACGGTCTACTCCACTAATGGATCTTAGAGTATAGACAGCATCATCAGTTTCTATCCGTAACAAGTTGTTATTTTTCAATGCAGAGAATAGGGCCTCGTGAGCATGCACTGCTGACTGCCAGTCGAGAGAACACACAGACGGTGTTGCAGCCTCCAGAAGTGAGTATTGCATCTTCGCAAGTTATGCGAGCTGCTGATGGAGTGAGGACTCAGGATAGAGCACCTAAGAGCCCGTGAGTTCGCACTGCATGCCTCAGACTCACAGTTGTTCCGCTTCACCTTGTTAGCAAATTTGTTTTTGAGACAGACACGGGTGGTTGTCGTGGAATTGAAGGCAATGTTTCCATTTTGGAATTTAGGACAATGGGTCTCGTAGCTGTCAGTTGTTACTTGTAGAATTCTAGCTCAAACCCTAGTTGAATGTAGCCCTTTCCTTGTGTGTTACGTTTGTAAGTTCGCTTTAATGGGCAGGGTTTTAGCTTTCTTCAGTTGGTATCGGAATACTTAAGAGGAGAATCACTTCTTGTACAAACAAAATCAATTGAAACTCAATCCATCCATTCAAGTCTGCAGAGCCTATGTATGTATCTCGCTGGTTTTTTAACTGTGGCTACACGTGAGACAACCGTGATTGAAAATCAGAGAACTATGTATGTGGCGTGCAGGCATTGGTTTGGCAGTTTTGATGGACTATGGCACTGGCCTCTTATGGAAGTCTTCACTTTTTCAGACGAATCTTTGTAGCAAGTTTTAGTGTGCAATTAGAGACATGATTCACAGCGGTGTTAGTGCTAGTAGATGACCCTCTTTCGTACTTAATTGCACTTTCTATGAGGAGTTTCAGGATGTAGTGATTGTACATTTTCTCTGTAGAGGAGGATTTGCTACACAAAGTGTTGTAGCTTCTGTATGTACCATTAAGTAGGAGAAGCTGGCAAAAGCTGGGATCCGTGGGTAACTGGGCAGAATGACCTGTTGATCACCCAGAGGGATTCTCCCTACACGATGCTGGTGGTGTGTTCATGTCACCACGGCATCAGCTGTAAATTTAAAGCTCTCTTCAATTTATTGAACAACCTGTTTCGAAATTCTATCAGCCTTCGTGTTAACCCATTTTCCATTTCAACGCTATTGTTTCTTGTCACATAAGTTTGTCGTTTGTGGCTTCAAATAAGCTCCTTTTTGGATCAGGTGACTCTGCCCCAGATACTTGGCTGAAGAAAGTTCCCAGCACCACAGCAAGGCTACTTTACCATTGTGGGACCAGGTATTTGAAATATGAATTAACTCAGAAGTCAAACTTAAATTTGGTATGCCAATTAGAAGGAAATACTATATTTGTTCTGAATGCTAGGTTTAGGATCGATGTCTTCGTGTTTTTTAAGGCTTTAATCAACTCTGAAATAGTTTTACTAATTGTAGCCACCGACCATATAATGTAGACCTGTAATGACCCACATCTATGATTCATCACAAGAAGAATTTTCTTTATATGTGATATAAAGAAAATGGTCGAGGATCTGGAAACAAATTCCACAAGTTGGTTCTTACCAGTGAACAGTCAACTTTACCTCAAGAGAAATTTTGTGGACCATTTGTTTGCAAAAATATAAAATAAAGATGTTCCAATATATAAAAATAACAATAAAAGTAAATAATTGGAAGAAACATATTTTTGTTACATAAACCAATAGAATGCATTATTACTTGTGTATACTGAACGCACACTATGTGGCACAGAACAGAAGATTTTATGCAAAAAAATTGAAAGTAATATAAACATTGGTATACAAATGCTTTTTACAAAAAATACATATAATTTATAAAAATAGCAGGGCTATAAATGTAGGTGATAAAACACTTACACGATTGTAAATATGTACAATTGTACTCTCCAAATTTATATGTAAAGAATGTCTGTATTATGTAAAGGTGACCAAATTTATGAAATTTTTTGTATTTAAGAACAAAGCTTGCCATGTTGAGATATTATAATGAAGATATTGTAACAAGAGAGACAATTGCATCTAATTAAATGTATTTTCATGTAAAACTTTGTGTACCAATTATGGTTGAAATTTTATTGGTTTTTATTATAAAAAAATCTAAGAGATGTTTTAACTAATACTAAATAGTAAGAAACAAAATATATTTTTTCAAAATATTATAATTTTTTTTAGAAAAAAATGTAAGAAGAAAGCCCTTCTTTAAAACAATTTAGTTCTTTGCTATTTGAATTAGAAATGACAATTAAAGAGGTCTTATTACTAAATAAGAATATTATGAAGAGATGCTTTTTTTAAAATTATTTTCCTAAAGAAGCTAATTGAAAGACTTTACTACTATCATTATACATGCCTATCAATAGCAAATATAATTTTTACTTGTGTAATGCTTTAGTTGATCCCAAGGCAATATAGAGCACAAACAAATCTTTTGATATTGAAGCTCTTAAAACACTAACTTAAGTTATATTAAAAAAATCATTCTAGATAAGTTCAAAAGAATTGTACAATAAATAGCAAGTGAAATCAAAGAAGTTATTGGCTTTGATTCTAAAAGTATTAAAATTAAGAGAAAAGATATGTTTTAGTAATTATTTCTAAGAAATTTTAGAAATTTGAAGTAGTAGTGATCAAGCCAATTACATAAAACTAAAAAATTATATTAAAAAATTATAATTACCTTCTAATTTGGTATTGATTTTATTTGGATACAAAACACCAAATTAATTATTGTCAAGTTTGGTTATCTTTTTAAGAAAATAATCAAATGTTTATCAAATAGAAACTATCACCTTACATTTTTTAATCCATCTACCAATCTAAATAGAGTTTAAACTTGGTGAGCATAAGGTTAATAATGAAAAAATATTTAGGATATAAATAAATATAAAAAGATATCAATTGTTTTTTTTCAGCTGAGAATTGTTTCAATTTGAAAAAACAAAGACTTGAAATAAGAAATTAGTAAATAAAAGTAAAGAAACAATATCAAAGTGAAATCTCATTATTAAAAATATAAATAAATAAATAAAAATTAAAATGAGATATATAATTTTTCATAAATGGATATTATTAGAATAAATAATTTTATGAATATTTTAAAAATTTGAAACATTAGTACAATGCACAAAATTTCAGCCACAACAAAAAATAATGCTCTATAGATAAACTAAGTTATAGGAACCAAAAAAAGATTACCAAAGTATGATATAAAAGTAAAAGAGAAATCAACTTAATATTTAGAAGATAGTATATATATATATATATATATATATATATATAAAACTTAAAATCATGGCTAATTAAACTTATAATTCATGAGAAGAGATACTTGTCTTTGATAAGCATGAATCAAGATAAAAGATATATGGAAACTTCTAGACAAGCATAGACATATTTTTGAAATATAATATGTTGATGGGAAAAAAAAAAATGCCTAAATACTAATTTGAAATTAAACTTAGAAACTTAGATTTAAAGAATATTGTGTGTGATATTTGTCCTTCTCTTGCACAAAGCAATCTAAGAATTCGAACATATAATCTTAAGACTAATTTGGTTACAAACTTAGACACATGACAAGAAAAGTACTTTAATAGAGAAAAACTATTAATTTACGAATTCATGGCATTAAAATAAGAATTTTTTAAGTGAGTATCAATTTCTTATTTGTATAAATAAAAAAAAGATGGCAAAAATATGTTAATCTTGTAAATATAATATTGAAGAGAATAAATTTGGATAAGGATGTGAAGACACATTTTACCATTTGATTAAATAAAAACATATTTGCTTTGAAAGACATTAGTCATTATGTACAAATATTGCCAATTAATTTGCCCACCAAGGCAATCACACCTTCATTTTCAATTATTGCTAGGAAAATCTATCCAAGCTCATTTCCTTCATAGCACTATAATTTAGATTGCAATTAAGTATACTTAAATTTTAAAAAATAAAAAATAAATAAAATTACCAAGAAAACTAATATCTACAACATGTTAGTATACAAAATCTAAATCTTGTCTTGCTAAAAAATAAAATGATCATATTTAGGTGTCCGTTTTCAATTTTAAGAGTCAAGTATTGTATGAAAAATGTAATATATTTGTATTACAAGAAAAATGAAGACTTAGCAAAAGATGATATTTATAGACTTCTATACAGAAAACCTTTTTAGATGCCTTCAGTAGACAAAGACAAGATGACTGAGGCCAACAAAAAAGAAGTTATAGGCTACTATGAGTTAGAAGTGGTTTTAAGTGCCACTTGTTTTCATACAAGAGAACAATCATTCTTATATTAGATAATAAATGTTCTTATAGAATATTATCAAGTCATACAACAAATTGAGATTTTTCAACAAGTTAGATATGAAATGTAGCAAGGTGCTTTACAATAACAAGCTAACATCTATATACATAAATGGTGCAACTACCCTTTATATGGTAGGCAATCAACTTATTGAAAACTTCTAGCAAAAAATGATTGCAAATATTTTAGTTATAAATAAAACAATCCAAATGATAGATTGATGCCCAATAAAAATTGTAAGACTAGTTCTCTCCAATTAACTTAGTACAATGTCTACTAGTTTGAAATTTTAATTTAAATAGTGTATTAACTTGGCTAAAAATAAAAAATTATTTCAAATAAACAAACAAAAAACACTTTATTTCCAAATTATCAATAAAATAATTATTTTTAATAGCAAAGAAATTTAATTTAAATTCATGTCTATATTGAATGAAATATTGTATATTGGTTGTCTAAAACCAGGCCAAACTTCTTTTTTTAAATATTATGCTAATTTATTTGATAATACTTTTAAATATTACATAATACTCAGTAGAATCCTCAAATGTAGATCTTCAAGTAATAAATACACAAGTTAAGTTCTTAAATCGTGCTTTTATTTTAAATACTTTTGAAATGAACAAAAATGAAGTCTAAATATATCATATAATATTTAATTGGATATTATTTTTATTTTAGAATATAATTATATTATTGGAATAATGTAATAAAAATAAAATATGTATTTGTTGTGGATAATTTTAACTAATACTATATAGATTAGTATACAATATAAAATGTTGTGTTGAATTTAATACTCTCACCATTACATATGCTTCCATACAAGGTCAATACATACTATACCAAAGTTGTTGAAAATAATCTTAATCGGTTCTTCAAGGCCAGAATTATCAAAATATTACATTATTATTTATTAATTTTCAACTGAAATATATTTATGTAAAATATTAAATAAATAAATAAATAAATAATGGAGAGGTTTTATTTTTTATGCAAAAATTATAAAATTAGAAATATTACATAAAACACTATCTTTTCTGGTTTTTCAAATTTAAAAGTTAATTACATGAATCATAAGTTCTTTAAAAAACACTACTGAAATATAAATTTTAAACATATCTTACCAGAGTAAAAATAAAAACATGATTACATATTACATCATTAGACTTTTCATGTAAATTTTTCAAGTCTTCAAACTTTAATGCCTTTTCCCTGGTAATAGCTTAATAATGTAAATATAATACTTATACTCGTCAGACTTTGTGAAATAAAACACCTCAATTTCTAATGTAAGCTCGTTGTGGATGTACAGGAAGCAGGCAATCAAGTCGTTGGCCATAAATAGAGCTATCATCATGTTTATTTTTTTAGGATATAGAATGAAATAGATTAAAAAGTAGAGTAAGAATGTATAAACTTAGAGGAAACATTTCCATGGCACACAATGGATGCAAAAGAGAAAAACATACCAATTATCAAAAGTGGGAAAAATAAAAACGGACGAACAAACAATTACGAAAAAATCAGTTACAAGCAAACGAGCAGGAAAGAACTCTGTTTCACCTTTCTCAAGAGTATTGTCAATATAAACACGATACTTAGCAACGCACTTTCCAAATAAAGTTCAAGACAAAATTCGACACATGTTTACAAAACAGAATTGTTGGAAATGTTCACATGGTCATTAAGAAGATGAGCATTGCAACAATGCCAAAACTCATCTCAAAATAAACGTCCTCTAGTGGTGTACCCAACAAGTCCGCAAAAATTATGCCACAAGTGGTGGACTAGATCTCTAAAGGTGCGGATTTGTCCCGAACTTCAGGGTTGACGTCAACTTCAGACCAAAAGGGAGAAGAATATTGTCTGGCCACAACCGCTTTCAGGTCAAGACATGGACCCTGGGTAGAATATGGGCATGCTCTTGCTCGAACACCTCTCTTTGATCACCTTAAACAACGCAGTTTTCTTCTTTCACCAGAAGACAACACCGGGAGAGTAAAATAAGCGTTCTTCGAGGACAGGATCCAGCACCAAGTACTTGTGTTTTGAGCATCCGCCAAATGCTAATACAATATACACTACAGTGCAAGCCAGAACGGCATGAGAGCAACCAGCATATGACCCAAAAATTGGTAAACCTACTTCCTAGGCCAGAATTCGGCACCAGTGGTTTCAGGACCAGACGTGGAAGAACTAGCCCAAATCAGTGTGAAGAGCAAGAAGAATTACTCTACGTTAGTAGCTGAACGTAATCACACAAGATGTGCCAGTCATGCACCACATGCTCCAGTCGACTTTTCTTCCATATGTTGATCCAGGGTTTGGTACACGTAGCTTGTCAATCCATCGGACTATTCCAGTTCATAGCACCGGTGAAAGGTTCCTTGCATGTCTTGACCTAACCCCACGCACAGGAGGTAGACTGGATGCAACACCACGGTCTTTAAATGATTCCGTTCGCAGTCGCTTACTACTCCCTGGTGACCTGTACAATATGCACAATATCGAAGTCAGTACAAGACTGCATATCATCTCACTTAAAGCTTAACAAGCGAGTGTTCCAGATACTTGAAACCTGAAATTTAGATGAAGCGCGTGATTACATGAAGAATGAATATATTCAAACGAAAGATTCAGATGTTGAATGATTGTACTCTTAAAAGGTTGATGTTGAATCATAGCTCAACACTCCTCAAAGTTAGAAATGAGACGCATTACCAATATGTTAACGTAAATACAATTTGAAATGATTTGAGTGCCTGCTAAAACTCGTTAAAAAGAGAAATCTGACCTTGGTGGCCCATTCCCTCGCTTATGCGGCCGTAGAGACATTTCCACCTGAATATAAGCTTCTTTTGCAGCCTGAGTAAAAACACAACAAAAACTTTCCACATGAGAAAACTATCAGATGAATACATTGCATAAAATTTATTTCAATTTAAGAAGTACCCTATTTGGTATGTAGATCCAGCGAATGTGCTGGACTAGGATCTAAGAGTGGGCTTCGAAAGATATGAAATTACTTGTTGCTTGGCGTCATCCCAAGAAGGTCCACTACCTCTACCCAACGTTCGTCCACCAACCTCGACCTGTCACATCAAACCAATTAGGTTCTTGAAATTTACTCTAAAAGTAGCCACATCATTCAAGCGAAGAAACCAGAATGGATAAATTTTCAGACTACGAACAATATGCTGTTCTATTCATTAAAACCAACGCACTGCTAGTTCTAGTCCGTACCTGACAACGAAATATTTGTCGCTGCCCAACTCCAGTTGATGGAAGTGCTTTGAATTGAATATTAATTGCCTCTCTAGTACACTGCAATTGCATAAAACAACCATTCGATACATGTAAAATTCTTAATGCTGCTAAAAATATCCGGTACTTTATTTGCGCGATGAATTCCAAAGCCTTAACTACTATGTGTATGAGATGAAAACAAAATTATCATCCATTGGTCAGAAGCTGGAAAGCGCATGTATGATTCGATATAAAGCATACACTAGATAGAAGTACAGTCGAAGGCTTACCAATTCCTTAAGAGCTCCAACATGATTATATGGCAACGGTTCCTCATTTGAGTGATAGCCGCCCATGGAAACATGTCCCGAAGTGCTTGCAACTGGACTATCATCATCCCTAGGCAAAGGTGCGAGACCAGCCGACAAACGAGGATCCCTAGGACCACGTGTCACTCGAACCTCTTTAACTGGTTCTGGCAACACAGTGGTAGAAGGTGCTGAAACTGATCCCCCAGTGGCCTTGGCTGTAGAGAGGGAATATAACATATGGTCAAATAGGTCCGATAACAACTCCACAATATTATTATAAGACACTGAAACAATTAATGAATTAAAAATCTATACCCAAAAACGGTGGAAACAAATTCAAGATAGAACAGTTTAAACGATCAATCGAACACAGAAATCTGCCTTAAATTGTTACCATCTAATTGAGATATTACTTAAAGTGAAATACTTACTTGCTAAATACAGTAATGCTGACTCTGCAGCATTATACTTGGCTTCTTTCCTGGTCCTCCCTACGCCTTCTCCCACTTTTTCACCACCAAACATAACCTGGTATGGGTAGTATACAATGGTTTCATGAGCAAACTCCAACCACAACTCATACCATTAACTTCATTCAAGCCAGCTACATTGCTCAAATAAAAGCGTTTCGTGGTATACTACTGAAGTAGCTGTAATCAGGAAAGGTGAACCAGCGGCACCTCAACAGCAACTCCAGAATGGGTTGAACTCCTTATATCTGTGCGATATTGTACCTGACAACTCCCGCCATTAACAACGCGTGAAGTGAGTAATATGTACTAAAATGCTTGCATACTTCAGCAGAAACGTTAATAATCAACAGCAGCCTTAACTGAAAGCAAAACTCATGAATGAAGGATACAGAGCATGAACATATGTAAAGAGAAAAAATAGTAGGACTCACAGTTCGTTTAACTTTTTGCCCTATCTCATGTAACGCGCTGATAGCATTAACAGCAGGAAATGGCCCCGCTCGAGGTGTTTTAAATGGTTCCCTTAAGATTACTCGTGTGGAAATATTTGCTGCACCATCTTCATCTGCCAATCACCAGGAATAACTCAGAAAGAGCGCACATTACCAGAATGCAAAACACAGAAAAGGGAATTTTACAAGCACATAGCACCTCCATAAAAGGATTGGATGGTTCTTGTAGAGACGAAGTTCGATAAATCTGCAAGTATACCTGAAAAGGCAGAATCGTCATGTTGCGATCTGGCCTCTCCAAAAAAACCCTGCACAGTCACCAACGCAACAATAGCAATAAGAAAAATTTGCAGGCATCCAACTTTCTCAATTAATCTCTGATGAGAACAATGCAAAATGAAATAATCTGCTGGACACCATACACAACCTCGACTCTGTTTTAGATATCTGATTTCACCTCTTCCTGATCACGTTGTCTTCTTGCTGCTTCTCTTATCAGCTGCTGTTCACGAATGTAAGGATTTTCAAATCCAGGCGGTCCAGAACGATCAAAAGAAGGAGACTCTGGCTCCACAACCAACTCCGGAGATATTCGACTTGGTCGACGAGGGCTCATCTCTTCTTCAATACCAAGCCACCCTCCTCCAGGAGGTAAAGCGGGAATAATTTGCGTTGGTAATGGTGCAGGAGGTGCAGGTGGCTTGCTTGCGTCCATACCGTGCTGTAATATGAGTAATCGCCTACGAGTATCTGGATCAATATCTGTCTCTGGAACCTCTCCTTCTTCTCTACCTGGGGATCCCTGAATAGCACCTTCTAATAACCTAGTTTGAACAGGACCTACGTGTCTTCTAGGAACACCTGTAGGATAGAGACCGTTATCGGCACTTGATAGATATGCAATACTGTCAGCTGGAAGATACAGTAAAGAATCCACTTGAGAAGGGTCCCCTATGAACGGAGGACGAGGTCGGCCAGTAGAATCTGAAACCAAAAGGTGAGACTGCTGCTGCTGTTGATGCTGCTGTAAAGGTTGTTGTATTGGTTGCTTGAGTGCCAATCTTAAGTCGTCATCCATGGAGTAACTTTGGGTGTGGGATAACCCATTAGTGCTCTGTCAGCGTGAAAAACATTAGTACAGTCACACAGCAAGGAACAAGTGCCTGACGTCATTCAGTTTAAAATTTTGACTGCTCTCCCATGACATTAGCTGTGAGATTTTCAGAATACCATAACACAGTATATTACTATCACCAACATAATAATCTACTGTTCAAAGAAAACATCGTACACAGAAATGCTGAACACAGCACATGTTCCTAACAAACAACACGCTGATTAATAAAGTAAAGATAATGTCACAAAGACTCACTGGTGTTTTCAGGTTCATCCCAACTTCCGCATTGGCCATTCCATCGCCAAAGTCCCGAACACCATTGGCTGTAGAATTTGGCAGTAGTTCTTCCTGCATCACCTGTATAAGAGCATACAAATTTCTTAGGAAGCACATTTACAAATAACTACAGTGTAATATTCCCCAAATTACATGAGCAACAAAAAACAAAAGAAAACTCTTTTAAAGTTCAAGCAACAGAGCCTGTTCATTGAAAGAGCTTGATGAGATATTTCACAAAGCTTGCAGCACAAACATTGGATTCAAACTGAATTACAATGGAAATTGAAAGTTTATTTCGCACCTCAGGAACTATGTAATTGCTCACGTCAGGAGCCTTGGGCAAAGAGTGGACCTCTGTATCGAACTTTACTTCCAACATCTGCTGCGTCAGAGTCTCATCCAACTCCCTGACACAAATATAAATGGTCCAAATCCATAAACATTCTCCTCCAAATAAATGTAGACCATTACAAGTAATTCAGGTGAACACATTGTACTTTTGTTTAAATTAGAAGTACCATGTTAGAACACACAAAAAACTTGGTGCCGAAAAGAGATCGTAGGACGGTGAGTACGTCACTTTCATGAAGCCCAGGGTAACACTTACTTGAAAAAATAGCCTCGAACGTTACAGGCTATATTCCTTGCGATGCACAGAGGTGGCAGTTCCTTCATGCTCTGTTGAATAAAAATGTTAGTTTCAAACAGAAAAGGGAAAGAGGAAGAGGAAGAAGAATTAAAAGCATGATTAGTACAAGTGAAAAACAATATATAATCTAGCCTGACCTCCCCTTTAGGATCCGTGTAAGGCATAAATGCTTGGACTTCATGCACGCGAGGTTGATCCGTTTTTTCCCAAACAGGCAACCGATCATCAAGCACCATTGCCATCTTCGGATGACAGCAGTGACGAGGGAAACAGTCTTTAAGCGCTTTTTTCGCATCTGAAACGAGAGCAAAAGGAATTTCTGTCAAGCACAAATGTGCCAGTCCTCCATGACAACCGCCACTTTTGTCTGATACGTAAGTCGTGGGCAACCGGATAAGCCAAGGACTCCAATATCCAAACACAAGATATTAGAATAATACTAAAGAAACAGTGAAAATCTAGAAGGAATTCTTGACACACAAGGCAAGGAAAAGAAGTCATACCAGACTTCACACAAGTGACCCGCTCATTCAACTCTCGCGGATTTATGAGTCGAGCATCGGGGTCCAACAAACGCCACATTTCCAAAGCATAATCCCTCTCTGACATGGTACAAATAAAAGCTTCAAATCGCTTGCGACCTTTTGCCAACAAATAGACCTTCAACTCCTCCCAACTTGGTCTCAACCTCACCAACACACTCGTATCCCTCACCTGCACAGACCATTAACAAGTTAGGCAGTCTAGCTTTCTAATCCAGAAATAATTGTTATGATTAAACTAACTGTATACATAGTTATGCCCAAGATGGTTGGAGGTCTTAAATATGTCAATAAGGATTCAACAAATTCTACTGTAAGAAAAGTGAAAAAAGATGGTCATTGGTCGTACTGCTGGATTGATCCGTGTAAGAATAATATTTCGTTCCGGCAGCCGAACGATGGGCCGAATGAGGGGAATCGCCCCATCTGCTACAGGTGGAACCACCTCTGACTGGGCTTTGTACAGTTTTCCATTGTCGAACACTTGATCTGTCTTGATGTACTGCTCTAACACAGCCTTATCTTCCTGAAACCGTTTGAGTGATGCAGCCAAAACAGGATCCTCTCTATTGACCAACCGACGATTTAAAGCGTCAATCCTATCATCGAAAGTCTTCAAGGTATTAGCTACGATGAGAGTCTCATCGAGGTCGAGTACCATGGCCAGGCAGCGTAGATTAAGCATAACAAGGCAGGAATCGTACATTCCTTCAACAACAACAAATCCCCAGAAGCAGGCGTCTTTTCTGCCTTCTAATATTTGTTTCTGTGATGGAAGCATGGCCACCAAGTGTAATTGAAAACCACCATTGAGCGAAGCTATCGCTGTCTGCAATTATCAAAGTAAAACCACAGTAGTTAGATTATGTTTTGTTCTTGAACCGCATTCAACAGCATGGGCAAACATCGGGTCAGCAATGAATTACGAAGAAGCTTGGTTTTAGCACTGTTTTAGAATGGAGTCGATGAAGATGCAAACTCCACATTCAAAGGTCTGAATTAGAAGACATTGACAGAGATAAGACCGCTTGTACAACACCACTTTTAAGTAGAGTATGACAAGAAAGAAACATGACGGAACTGTCTACAGGTCAGACATGGATTGATGCAGGCCCGTTTCAATCTACGCAGTGACAACGACTATAGCGCTACTGGAAGTGAAGCGGTTGAGGATTAATAAACGAACGATACATGGGTACTGAAAAAGATTAAAGAAATGCAATGAAGTGCACGAAGTGTACAGATTCCACCAATCCATGGACCGAAATCAAAGCCCTATAGTAGTAATACATGGACGAAGTGTGGGATGATAAAAAACTTGGCAACGAATCACGGTGTGCAACAAGTCATTTCAGAGGAAGAATAGACAACCATGAAATACGCAAACCATGCGTCAACACATACGCTCACGACCAAGTAAGACATGATGAATAGCACGAGAATTAGATATACAAAAACAAGACGGTATCATGCATTAGGTGGACAAGACTGCCCGTGAACGAAGTACCTTGTTTTCGTGGAGACAAGAAAGGTGCAAGGCTTGGAGCGCAGATAGATCTGTAGCTTGCTGACTGTAAGAGGGCGCCAGCTTGAACGCTACCCCAGGAGATATGGTGTGAAGTACTAGCAGCGGCATGCATCTTTCACTTGAAGTAGAGAAGGAGGTGATGCGAAGTTGATCCCCAAACACTTGAGACCAATAGTCATCATGAGATTGTGGAGAAAGAAGCATTTCTCCAAGACGCTCATTTTTGAGGTGCAAATTAGTAAGAAACGCATCGCTATGGCGCGCCATTGTTGGAGGGTGAGTCGGTGAATAGTTTAAGGACAGATCGGATGCCATTTCTGCAGGGAACATGCCTGGTCCTTGCAATCGAAGACAAAATTATCTTATTGCACAAATGCCGAGATCAGGTTGAACTACCTAGTGACCCTCCTTGCCATATTCTCCATCACCTCGAACCTTAGATTAAGCTCCCTCTTCTCCATGTTCTCTACTTGCGGCACTAATATCGTGTAGGAAACATGCTGTTTACAAGTGTGTCTTTTCTAGTACAAACCCAAAGGACTTGATTATCATCATATTCCGTTCACCGTCGCTGCACCTAGGGCTGCAGGACACTCCTTGCCAGACTCGATGTTTGTGAGAGCCAGCACTTGGGCACTGTACCTTTCGCTAATTCCAATCTTTCTTAAGTAAAGGTTCTTCACATCCGCATAGCTCGACTCGGCGCCAGAGTTGCCAAAAGCGGTATCTCTGGATAGCAGAAATTGAGGAAATGTTTGTCTTCAGTTCTCGTGCTTGTCCGAGCTGCACCCAAAAACCAATTAACATAAATTTCGAAACCGGATCTCCGCAGAAAGTGGTTCCCCTATGCTTCAATTCGATGACCACCCCAACCGAAATCGGCAGTTCGAGCACCACTAAAGAATCGAGCCTTCACCGCGAGACAGCCAAACTGTTCTCGGGAAGACAAGAGAACCGAAGCCGGTGTGAAAAGGTTAGATGAAGGTGCCGCAGAATCGGGGAGTTTCGTGTTTTTCCGCAAAGAAATTGAGTTGGCTTTTCGGAAGCAAAACTTGTCCGGGACGAACAAGGTCTCATGTCACCAATGTGTGAGTGAAAATCCTTCCCCTACTTCTGCTGGTGATGATAACCAGATTGTTCCAAACTTTTAGGCCGGGTATCGCACTGGTATTGAACTCTGTTCAGTTCTTCGACGGGTTGCGTAAGTGGGCCGTAGGATGAGTTCGGGAACTAAGGGAGGATGGAGGAGGACGAAGCAGGTTCTTCGCTGTTCACACTCAGCATCTCCTTTTCTGAGTCACTCAGAATGGTCGCAAATCTATGGCACGGTTGAGGAAACGTATGGCATAGTGGAACGCATGGACATGCACAATGCTCTACGTTTCGTAGAACTGCCGATGCTGATGGATCTCAACATGCAACGCAAACCAGATCCCAGAGGAAGACAGACAGAGAGAGAAAGTGGTGGTGACGGCGGCCAGCAATCCCTTGGACAGTTAGAAAGCTTCTCGTCCGGGCCAGAGGTGTGGCAACTCTCTTTACAACCGCTTTGAATATCTCCTCCTGTTCTCAAATGCACAGACTCGCCCTGCAAAATCCTCGACTGCAACGGTTCTCCAGAACGGTTTCATACAAACACTACAATTCTCAATTCTGGGGTGACGGAGGAAACACCAGCCTCGAATCCCATCCAAAATGTACGCGTCAATCTCAGACTCCGATCACTTTCAAATCTCAAATCATGAAGACCTCACGCACTTGCCAACACAGCATGTCTCACTAAGCCTCTTGACGAAGAAAAGGAGTATGCTTGAGAGCTCTGCGCTTCACATCCGCTTCAACACGCATGAGAAGCACAACAAGCTAGGGCAGAGAAAGGGCACTGGGACTAAGTTCACGGGTGTGCGATGCCGATTAAGCTTGAGGGGGGGGGGTAACAAAAGAATAAACACTATCAACTAGGGTTCGATAATCGGATAAACGGGGGTAACACCATCATGGTCATTGCGGTACAATTCGGGATCGACACAAGAGCCAGAGCGGGCGACAGCAGCCAGTCGCAGGGGGGAGGGGGAATGGAAAATAGCAACGCACGCGACGTGCTGCAATAAAAACTTTCAAAGTTACTCCACCACGCAACTCCTTGACACAAGAAACGCGACCCCGTGCAAGCGCAATTAACAGACGCAGCGGGGGGTGGGCTGCCGCGAGACAGGGGAAGAGGGCCGGGGCTATGGCCTGCGCCAGAAACAAGCACCGCGAAGAAGCTCGATTGATGAAAATGCGGTGGTCCACCTTTGATGCACAGTGAGTGTGGCGGGTTGCGACCTCAGCGACGAAGAATACACACCACACTGCAATGAAACTAGGGTTTTATGACCCTCATGGCTCAGCTACTCCCCGCCCCGCACACCACCTCCACGCCTCTCGCTTCCACCCAATTCCTAGATCTCTTATGCAATATTCGTAGATTTCTCTCCCGCCCGCCTTTCATCTTCGTTCTCGCTATACTTACCATATCTACGATTTCATCATCTTAAAATATCGATGACATGGATTTTCGAGTGGAGGAATTCCTAGATTGTTGAGGAAATGAAAGGGGATTCTAACAGTGTACATGTCCATCTGTTGCGTACTAGTATTTCTTCTTGACCATATTAATTTTGATCAAAATTAAAGTAAAATGTAGTCATGTATTTGTATTCATTTTATTTTGTAGTAAAATCTATACATGCTTAAAAAATTTGATTAAATTTTAATTTAATAGACTAGTGTTGTAACAAAAGTATTGTTGAATATAGTAATGGGTGGATCAATTTGGAAATTGTATTGTCTTTCTTTCTTCTGAAAATAAATATAATTTTGAACCACATGTTAACTGTATGCTTGTTGTATGACAAACCATTATATATATATATATATATATATATATATATATATAATTACAAATAGTGTGTGCATGTGTGTGGACATGTATGTATATATACACTATTTGTAACAGTAAAATTAGCTATTCTAATTAGATTTGTGCATGGGTATTCATTCTTATATGCACATATGTACATGCATATATTTGTGAGAATATACATACATTTGTATAACTAGGAAGGATATGTTTTGTGTAGGACGCAACTATTGAAGTAGTGAACAAAGGGATATACATTAAAATAATGATATAACATTATTTACTACAATTGCAAATTTTCACTTTTATTACATGTAATACTGATTTGAGTTTGCAATGTATGTTGACATAGGAGAGGAATACCAACCAGAGTTTTTGTGAAAGTTCGTAAAAGACGCCTTCAAATTCCAACTAAGAATAAAATGTACAAAATGAGAGATGTTGTGTATACAAACAACAATAAATTTATGTGTAAATTAAATGTTACTTGATGTAATATTACTAAAAAATATCTTTTTTCAAAATTTTAAAAGTTTCAACGTCTAAGAATCAAAAAAATTAAAACGTTTCTTTTTCTTTTAAAGATATTGTACATTATAATATGTTGAATTTTTTATGTTTTATGAAGTGATTTTCTGTTATGATTTAATTTACACATAAATTTTCTGTTATGATCCAACTCAGATAAATACAAATTTTTAAATATAATTATACTTTTTCAGTATCATAGATTTTTCAAAAAGAAAATCACTGATCAATTTGTAAATATTATTTTTCACAATATGATTATTTTTTAGTTTTGGGTATTTTCATTTGGTTTTTCATGTATTAAAAAAAAATTCTTCATGTTATAATTTAATGGGTCCTCTTCTTTGCACTCTTTCGTGCTTATACTTCCCATGTATTTCCTCCATTTCTCATCTCTTTAATTTCTTTTGCCTTGTTATTGCCTCTAGATCATTTTTTTTTCATGCATTTGTTTGTTTAGTTGCATATATATATATATATATATAGATTTTTACAATACAATATAAGTATAGAAATAACATAATATATAATGAGATTTTTAAATGAGAAAAAATATAGACTTTGTGGCATTTATTGTCTTTAGTGCAAAGATTAGATCATTTTTTAATAGTTAACAAGATATCCCTTGAGTGTTAAAATGGTGGTTTTAACATTCTTGTTTATTATTCATGCAATGAGTCTACAATCTTCTAATGTTATTGTAACATTCTACTAATGCTACTAATACTTTGTTGCAATTCTAAATTGCAAAAAGACATACAATATCATTACAACATACAAAAACTTAATTAAATTTGAAATAATTTAGATGTAAAAATAGAATAAATTATATTTTAGAACATCATTCACATTAATTGATATAATTTTAATTATATTCTTTATTAATTGATTTTTTTATTACTATATGACATATATATTATTTATTGCCAAACTTATTATAAAAAAAATTAACTTTAATTTTTACATTTGTATGTTTTTTTAAATATACTATATAACTTTCATGTATAACCAAAAAATAAAGAAAAAAAATACAAATTCAAATATAATTTTATTAATTAGATATTTTTAATGCAACCAAATATGCATATTTTTTTTGTAGAGAAGCAAACTATCATATTTGGTTTATAGTATTAGTATTTTAATTATAATATTTTGATTTGTACTAAATCATCAACTTCATAAGTATTATATTCTTTATTGTCTACCAATAATTAGACCACAGTTTAATTTGACAACCTAAATTCATTAAAATAAAGTTTTACTTCTTATTTATTAATCCTTATTATGTGTCCTTTGAGTGAAGGTAACCAAGTAGAATAATATAATTTTTATTTTTGATCATTATTTTTTTACATAGTATACAATAAATCAAAAAAGTGTTAAATTTTACAAAATAAGTATGTCTGAATATCATAAGAATATACTACAAAACTATCAATCATTTTTTTATTACTTAAGTAAATAAATCAGTGTTTATATTTTTATATATTATTTCACATCGAATCCAAATTCTTTGTCTAAGAAGATTTTTTAAACAAATATTTCAAATATTTGTATTACAATATTGATTATGTACCTATGTAATTTTGATATGGTTGGACAACTAAAAAATTAATGTTCAAGTGAACATGATTCCAATATATTGAGAGAAATTTTTTTTGAAAGAATTTTTTTTAAGTTTTTAGTAAAAGTGTCAAGGTTGTTTTTTGCACAATGATACTAATTAATGTATATTCCAAATTATCCAATAGAAAAACAAAAATCATCATAGTTGAGATATACTTCTGATTTTATATTTTGATTATTAATATATTATTTTGATATTAATTTTTATTAATATCAAAAGCTAAATTATACTATTTTAGGCATCTTCAACTTATTAATTACGTTTCTTTAAATATAAATTTAAAATTTTAGTTTTCTTTACAATATGTTTGATATTTTAATTGATACCAATTCTATGCATTAAAAAACTTATATATTCACACAAAGTTTTCAAAACAAATGCATTAGAGTTTTGACAATTTTATATAAATATGTAATATATTATTATTATTTTATTTTTTTTTATAAATTTTTAACACATGAATCAACTACAAACATATGTAAAGTCAAAACAATGTCTATGAAGCTTTTAGGAAGCATCTCTAAAAAATATTATGAAATAAATTTATTTTTACCTACTTCTCTTTAATCATATAGACAAATATTAGAATAAATATGAATGTCCATGTTATTGCCCTGTCTTTTAGAGATAAGTTCCATGAGGAATAGTCATCATATATTGAAAAAATACAAGATGCAATAAATTGTATTTGTCACATACTTTGATCTTTGTTCTCTTCAAAAATGGTTGATAGGTCTTCTTAGCCATGGATAATATCCTATAATAGGGCAAAAAGACCATCTTCTTATTTGATTGTTGTTGAAGCTTTTATAACTTTTTTTAAATAAAATATTTGAAACATTGCCAAGAGTTGTTCTTGCCTCTAATAAAAACATTAAACATTGAGAGTCTCTTCCAAATCTGTGATACCAAATACGTCATATCTTGCCATCTATTTGAAAAAGGACATGTTGTTCTTCAAGAACTTCATCCTATTTACATCATCTTGAAAGTTATAACAATCATAATATCTTGTCCGATGAGTCAACAAGTGATAGCTCTTGAATTAAATTTGTTAGTTGTTGATTCTCCATCTCCTTAGCATCATAAATATAAAAAAGTTATAAACAAAAATATAAGATAAAAATGCTACCTTTCCTAGATCTTATTTCTTTCATAGTAAAGATTTTGCTATTCTTCCTCTTAATTTCGATAGATGTCATCAAGAAAAAACCACAACCTTCTTTGTTGTATTTATAAGATTCTTTGTTAGTATCCATATACGTTCATTAATATCATATTCATACTAATGAACAAGATATTCTAATCTATTTTTCCATCACCTTGAATCTAAGACTTCTTCTACCTTAAACTCTTAATTATTATCTACTTTTATAGGAAGAGGTGGCATTTATCTTCTTCTTGAAATATTTATTGTCTTATATGGCTGAAAAAAGAGACATATAGTATACATGATGGATCTTCATAGATTTTTGTAGATATAATTGATAAGCAATAGAAATGACTTGTTTACTAATAAGAAAATTTCCAAGCTTATAATAGTCCAACTTATCACAAGGACAAATAGTCTTGATATTGCAATAAAATAGCTATACCTTGTCATTCATATTAAATTGTGGTTGTTCTTTGTAATAGGCATCTGCATTGATCTTTTGTTATTCTTGAGTTTTCTTTAACTACGCCTTCATTGTTGTATAAAGTTCTAATAAACAATTTGCCAAATCTTCTGATATAAGATTATCAACTTTTGAAAAGTCAAAAGTATCAAGTCATGGATAATAACTATAATTGGTAAAAAAAAATATTTGTTGAATAAAAAAAATATATCAAATTATTTTATGCAAACTTTGCCAATGGCAAAAAAATTGTCTACTTATGTTAATAATAATTGATGGTACACCTCAAATATTGTTTAAAAACTTTATTCACATGTTTTGTTTGACTATTAGTTTGAGGATGAAAAGCCAAAGAGAGCTTTATATCTATCTTTAAAATCTTAAAAATAATTTTCTAAAACCTTGATATAAATTGAGTCTTTCTATTTAATATAATATCCTTCAAAAATCTATAATAGCGATAGATATTATCAAGAAAAAGCTTAATCATTTTTTTACCTATGATAGATTTTGTACGTGGTATAAAATGTGCCATCTTGATAAAACAATCTACTATCACGAATATAAAATCATATGAACCTAACATTAGAAGATCTATGATAAATCCATAGAAACAAAAGACTATGATTGTTTTGGAATAGATAATGGTTGAAGAAGTCTATAAGGTCAATGATAAGGAGTTTTAGATCTTGAATAAATATCACATGATTGTACAAAGTCTTTGACTGCCTTCCAAATTTTAAGCCACCAAAAATCTTTAGATATTAGCTCCAAAATCTTGTTATATACAAAATGTCTGGTTGCTAGAAAATCATGACAAGCTTAAAGAACTTGTAAGCATGCTTTGTTTTTTGGAATGTATAACTGTTCCTTGAAGTAGAATAGATTATTCTTGAACTCCAACTTGGAAGTATCATGAGACTTAGAAGAATTATTTTTGATATCATAAATAAGAAAATCAGAAGATGTACTTGATTGAATTTGATTGACAAAGATTGAATCAATATTTAATGTTAATTTTATTGATCAAAGATGAAAATGCTCTGATTTCAAGAGAATTATTCTTTGTTGATCAAAAATTACATCTCTTTCTTTTGGTGCAAGATAAGAATCTTTAAAAAGGGCATCTAATAAACCTTGTTGCTTTTTGAGCCTATAGGTGATCTTAAAATCAAATCTTGATAACAATATACTCTAACAAGCTTAATAATAATTTAAAACATTTATTGACATGAAGTACATAATGTTCTTGTAATTTGTATATATAGTAACTAGACTAGAAGTACCTTCTAGTTAATGACACTATTCTTGAAATGAATCTAAAATTACAAAAAAACTCTTTATTGTGGATCTTAGATTTAATATAGTTTACTAAAAATTTCTTCAAATAAAAGCTATCAGATAGAGCTTATCACCTATTTCTATTCATGTTAAAACAACATCCATATCAAAGTCTGATGCATTTATTCTCATAAAGAATGCCTTAAAAAAATTCTATGCAATACAAAATTAGTACAAAAATAAATGATGTTTTTAAGGCTTCAAAAGATATTTCAACTTCTTTGTTCCACTCAAGTTTATTTTTTCATATCAAATGTATAAGAGGATCTATAACTTGAAATTTGTTTTTAATAAAGATTTAATAATAATTGACAAATCTTAAAAAAAAACATCGCTCATCTTTAAAAGATGTTGGAACCTTCCAATCCATGATAGTCTAGATTTTCTTAGAATCCATAGTTAATCCTTTGTTAGAAATGATATATCTTAAAAAATCAACTTGAATAGTATGGATTATACGCTTTTCTATCTTGATATATAATCTTGCATCTCTAAGTTTTTGTAATACATGATAAATATAAAATTTATATTCACTTATATTCTTAAAATAGATAAAAATATTTTCTAAATAACAAACAACAAAATTATTAAGTAACTCATAAAATACATGTTTCATGAGATATTGAAAAACAGCTAGTAGATTTGTGAGTCCAAAAGGTATGGCATTATATTCAAAATATCCATACCTAATTTAAAAAACAATCTTCGACTCATCTCTTGTCTTATTACAAATTAGGTTGTATGTTCATTGTAGATCTATTTTTATATAGATCTTTATTTCATTGAGTTGGTTAAGAAGTTTTTAAATCAAAGATAGGAGATACCTATTCTTGATAGTGATCTTATTAAGTACTCAACAATCTAAGCAAATCTATAGATATCCATGTTTTTTCTTCACAAATAAGATAAGAGTTCATGTTGAAGATTTAGAATAGCGTATGAAGTTCTTAGCCAAGTTTTTGTTAATATACTCGTTTAATGCAACCAACTAATTTTGCAATAAGTTCTAAATTGGTCCAAATGGGGATTAAGCTTCTTCTTGTAGATCAATTGAATAGTCATAAGATTGATGCTTTGGAAGAATATCTACATTCTTTTTTTGAAAAATATCCTGAAAATCTTGATATTGATTATGAATACTAATTGATGTCTTTCTACCATCAAAAATTAGTGTGGTATATATAGCAAAAGATGATTTCTTTTTTTGTTATATGTATGAAAGTTCTTGCACCTACCAATAAGGATTTGGATGTATTAAGCTTATCTATTTCTATTATACTATCAAAATTTTAAATTTAAATATAAAAAAATTAAAATTATAAGAGATTCAATCTATTTGAGGGTTATATTTTTTTAATCACAATAATCCTAAAATAATTAGATTAGAAGAAAATCTTATTATATTAAATATTATTATACTATTATGATCTTTAATTGCTACATTTAAAAGAACAATTCCATGAGTAACATCTCCAAAAGACAACAAATGATTATCTATGACTTCTACATGCATGGGTTTAGTTTTCTTAACCAAAGGTATTTTTTGTTTCTTGACAAAGTCTTTGTCTATAAAATAGGCTTAGGCTCTTGAATCTAATAATATAAAGATTTTGTGATTTTTAGGTCCTAAACATACATCTATTGTAAAACAAGGACATAAACCTCAAAGAACCAAAATGTCAATATATTGTTGTATCACTCAAAAAAACTAAAAAAACACTCAAAGATGATATAGTATTAAAGTAGAATATCTATTGTCCAAGACAAAAAGACTAAAATGTCTTCAAACAAAACTAAGGATTAGAAAAGTATTGACAAGAGTGAAGAAGGCTTCACTCTTGTCTCTATATTTAACAATCTTCAAATCTTTATTACTTATAAAAATAAAAATAATGAATACATTGATCTTCATATTCAATTATTTCAAAATTATATATATATATATATATATATATATATATATGGGATTAAAATTTTAATTAATTTTATTCAAAATATCCAATATTATTAGTCAATTTTATAGAGCTAAAGATAATATCAAATATTGAATAGCTCTATAAAAATAAAAAATAGTAAAAGTGAGTTAAAACAAGGAAGATATCTTTACTCTAAGACCACTTAAAATGATGGCAATACTATTAATATTCTGATTTAAATTCCAATATATAAAATAATATAACTTTTTGTCGCTAACTTGTTAATGTTAATTATCAAATGTCTTGCATACAATTGAATTGTGCGATATTTAAAACTTCACATCTCCAACTTTTAGACTTCAATTTTTTAATTTATTGAAAAGCAAATCCATAAGACTTTACGTGCAAAAGCACAAAATATTTGTTCATCCATGTCCAACTATTACACAAAGGGACCATGGGGGGATACTGACGAACGAATAGACGAAAAACGGACGAACGAACGGACGGACGGACGGAGCAAGAGCGGGGGAGTGGACGGGGTCAGGCCGGGTGGCCGCATCATCGAGGGGGGGAAGCATCAAGACGGTTCCCAAGATGGTTCGCAAGGTGGGAACGTAGCCAGGGATACCAGTCCTAGGGTTGAACTGGCATAAGGGAACCGGTGCTAGCCGGTGGACGGGCAGACGGGGCAGGCGGGGCGGGCACGAGGCCTGTATTTCTTCTTCTGCCTGCTGCTCCAGGCCAGTGAGTGTAATCTTCGTTGTCTCGGCGTTGCTAGTGATGCGTGATATGAATCGAGACTTTGGCTCAAATTTCTTGCATCTATCGTCGTTGTTGTGCTGTTTGCCGCTTTCAGGTTCGTCTGGAGCTTCTCCGCTTTCGTTTGAGTCTTTTTACGTCTATACGTGGGGTTAGTTGTTGCCCGCGGCGGGGGATTGTATTAGGGGGAGTGATTACCGACACTTGTGACTTTGGTTGTGCGGTGTTGAGAAGGAAGGCGCTGTGTGGTTAACTGTGGCGGACGTATACGAGGATTTGTGATGTATAGTGAGTTTGTGTTTTTGCGTTGTGGATTTTAGTCGTGGTGTTGTTTTGTTTTGTTTTTTTCTTTCCGAATTATGGTGCGGTGTTGGAGCCTGGAGTTTTGAATTAGGAATTGTTACAAGTTGTTTTGTTTTGTTTTATTTTTATGTTTTTGAATTGTGTTTCAGAAGAGGAGGTGCAGCATGTGATACGTTGCGCAGTTGAAATTTGGACTGTATGACGGTGTCTGTATCAAGGAATATTAAGTGGAAGTTCTTCTGCGGCGGAATATTTTGTGAGGCGTAACGTGTGAGGGAGCTGGGTTTTTGTACGCGGAATATGGCTTTCGGCAGGGACCTTGATTTGTACAAGACGAAATTGTGTACATTGTTCTCTCGAGGATCGTGTCCGCGTCAGAGCTGCTCTTTCGCTCATGGGAATGCTGAACTTCGGCGATTGTCTGGTGAGGCTGCTTGTCTTATCAGATTCCTACCTTATAACTTCTAGGTCGTCATCAGATGGGCATGTTCGCGATGAATGTCTGCGACTCTGTAAATAGCTTCACGGTGGCCAAAAAGTTCAAGTATATTCTCGGATATTTTATGAACATAAGCAAGATTGCATATTCTGGTAACAGGCTTACTAATAGTGAAATCTTCGGAACAATAATTGGTAGACCATCGTTGAATTTATGAAATCCTCGTAGATTCCTTCGAGAACAGATCCAACAGAATATTGAGCCATAAGTACCTGAGTAGGCTTCGATATTCCAGCGACTTTGTAAGAAATTTCTGCAACAACGCCTGAAGTGTACTTTGAAATACTTGTCTCACGGTTGCTGCGGGTATGTATGTTTGCAAGGAGGGGCTAAGATTATGAAGATTTCGTTTTTTCCTATTGGTTGTTATATTCGTTTCCCATTCTGGAAGTCACTCTTTGTCAGAAGTCTATGTCAGGCCGTGTATCTAAAAGGACCCGACGACGCAATTACATGGGTGATTATTATTTTTTATCTCCTCCCAGCTTGTTTGGTATTCACTATATCCAATATTTGGGCTTTGAGGAGTTTTATTATGGAAGGTGGCTTTACATCGTAAGAGCATGGAGGTTTCACATTATATAATTCATTCTTGTCATTTTCACCTCTATTGGTAAGCCTGTTTTCATTAAGTCCTTGAAACTTGTCATAATCTCATTTTCGCAGAACAATTTATAAGGGTTATGAATTGGATGAAGGCGTAGTTTGACGTGTGTTGATCATGTTTAGGACACCCTGATTCTCGTTCAGTCGGTTTGAGGTCTCGATTTGAGAGGGAGTCCCCTTTGAGTCAGTTGCGGCGATCCCACAGCCAAGAAAGAAGAGGTCGAGGATTCCGGGGGTCACCTTTCCAAGACAGCGGTAAGCTCACCTCATTTGTTTTGATATCTCGCTATGCTTTCGTGTCTGACAATAACTTTGGCGAGTACGCCGTCTTGTGATGTTTCATTGCTCAAGGTACGGATCTGTGGGACATTTTCAATCAGATACGGTTGTTGGTATTCTTCTCCATTACTATCTACCGGGATTGTTTTTCAACAGTCTAACGTGCTTTGGTGGGCGGGATTTTAGTGCATGAAGGTGTGATATTTGAATTTATGCTCAATCTATTTCGTCCTCACTAGCGTGCCTGGTGGGCAATGTGTCGTAGGGCAGATTATTGTCGATCACCGGCAAAGCGTAGGAGAAGTAGATCTCTTACTGCTCCGGAGCCATCCGAGTTTAGAAGGTAGCATTATAATCACAAGCACCCATACTTTATTTCTTACACTAAAAGGGACTACTTTGTCCTGCAAGTTTATGTAGAAACTTCCATCTATTGTTGGCTTGGTTCAACTTGCTTGCATAGTCTTCTCCTTTTAGTTCTTATCTTACTCAGATGTTGCGCTTAGTCATGTTTTGAGCCTGGGTTTACTGTAGCCATGACTGCATCAATTTTGAAGTTCATTTGTGTACCATACAGAGCTCTATAGCTCCTCTCTGTTTAATTTCGACGTCGTGGTAGGTGGAAAATTAAAACAATGTCTTAAGAGGATCATGCTATATTGTTTTTCACAGTTTTTGGACAAGAAGTTTGGTGTCAAAAACCTTGGATGCAAACATTGGTGTCAAAGTACTCTTGGTTTCCCATTGCGTGTACTTTTTGGGTAGATAATTGCATCCAATGTTAATGCCCGTGAAATTTGGTATCATGAGCCAGCTGTTCTCATAATCCTGGGATGTAATGGATAATGTTACGTTGCTATTGACAGATCTCAATTTTATTAGGCATAAAAATTCGAAATGAGGAATAACACATTTCGCTATCATAAATATTTCGCTTAATTATGATGTGGAACTGTTCTAGGAGGGACATCAAGACCGCACGTATAGAAGCGAATGAACCGCATTTAAGCGATGTCTCAGCTGAGGACCTCGGAACTGATAGTCCTGGTGCTGACAAAGATGTAAAATCTCAATCTGCAAAGGAAGCATCACATATGCGTGACTCCCTTGAGGAGCAGGTGTTTTCTCAATTAAAATTTCACTTCTTCGTCTATGCTCTCTGCATTTGGATGAGTTTGACATCTTGTTTTGGATCAAGCCGTGGAGCTACGTTTTGTTGTGGTGCTTAATTATCGAAGAGAATGGCCATAACGCTGGATTGTCATATTTGATCAAGTATGGTGGATAGGAAGCGTTCTAAGCTTTACGGGGTGAATTTTCTTCAAGCTGATGTTGTTGCAGATTCAAAACCTATGCAGATATGGAATGAACCATATTGTTGTATTTGAACTCTGTGTATGCACAACCTAAGCAAGCTTTTGGGTGCCCACCATAGCCTCTTGTATAGCCCTTTCACTTGGCTTTATTGATGGTCGACGTAGCCCCAAAGCAAATTTGTAATCTTCCCTGCATAACAAAGTGGCATAGTAAGTGAGGAATTACACATGACGGTGGGTCTTATCAACCTTGACGTTTTTGTATCTCAAGAGGTCTAATTGCTGAAAAATGCGCGATGCAGTTGGCGGAAGTGAAGGATGATAATAAAGTTTTAGTGGATGAGAAGACCAAGCTTGAGGTAATGGAGCTGTTACAACATTTTTGGTTCAACGTCTTTGAGATGGAAAAACCTTGTCAATTACATCTGTATTTTGCTGTAGTAGTGGAATATATATAATGTGGACGTTTGTAGAACAGTGACTTGTTTTCGTAACGATCTGCTCGGGATACAATACCTGCAGCAGCTATTTTGACATTTTGGAATATGTTGGCTCTAAGACGTTATATTTTTGTGCTTGCTGGTTTGCAGCTTGTATTGGAGAGCAAGAAAAATGAGACCTCAGAGTTAAATGAGAAAGTTACAACACTAAATGAGAGAGTAGCCGGAGTGCAAGAAGATTGTAAGGGGTATCTTTCTAAACCCGGTGTATCTTTGGAACAAGAGTTCATGCATACACTTCCACAATCCGCTTTTGAAGTGTTCGTTACTTATGGACACATTTGAAGGAGTACAGTGTTGAACCTCATTTTTCTTATACGTTTGGCTTGTTCTTTCCTTATTTAATGGAGTTTTCACTTGCTAACTGGAGCCACTCCACTGGCTTTCCTTGAACGAAGCACTTGCTTCTTTTTAAGATAGTTTATTTGGTGCGTGTGAATATGTGTAAATTCTTCAGATGATTAAGGTAGTGATTGTGAAATTTAGATGAGCATAGATAATACATCTTTATATTGAAAAATATAATCGAGTATTTCTTCTTTGCATAGACTTGATGAAGACTGTTTTTTATGTTTTATATGTATTTTTTTACTTTATGGTTTTAACGCAGTTGGCGTAGTAGTTGAAAGAATAGTGGTTCTTACAATCAAATAAACACGGGATTGGGGTGTCATTTCAGGATAACTTCAAGGACGCGGAAGCTCGTGAAAGTGTACAAAGTGTTTGTTCGTGCGCAAGACGAACTGAAGAAGTAAAAATATCATTTTTCTATACTCTCAATCGTTAGCTTGTTTTACTGTCTTTGTTGTCTCGGATCCATGCATAGTGCTTGGTTTCATAGAAATTTTGACCCAGTTTTGTGTGCCTCACTTTAACAACTTCACATTTAATGTTGGAAAGTTAAGTGTTCATATCATGTTGTGGTTGTTGTGACAGAGCACAAGCCAAGTTAATCAAACTGGTGGACGATGGTATTGTGGAATCATATAGCAAGAATATGGATCTGAACAATATGAAAGGTTTACTTCCATCCCATGGTGGAATGTTTGGAGATACTGCGACTCCACTTGATGGCTCTATCTCTCTGGAAGCTACGCAGAGGTGAATGACAAGTGCAACCAGATCTGATAACTTACTGCAGATTATATTTTAAAACTCTTTTGGAAGGATCCATTAGCGATGTTTCGTTCATTTGCTTGGCTGTACATGCACGACATTGGAGTTACGTATTTATCATTATGCAGGCTCGCTGGTTATCAGAAAGGATGCTAAGGTTGAACCACCGAACGTGGTAAAATGCCGTCCTTGGTTGAGGATCAGTGACCTCATCACTACAGCTCAAGATAGAACACTCTCTACAGAGTAATTTGCAGCAGGCAGGCACGGAATCAAAATGCAACAATACGTGGAATGGCAGTAGCCTTAAGAGAGCTATTTCAGGCATTGGTGAAGGCTTCAGCCAAATGCTTGTTTTGGAAGAAAGGATCATAATTCAGGATTTCGACTTTATATTCTGCTTATAATTCGCGAAAGATGTTTGGCATTGCAGTTCGAGTCAAAGAAGGAACTGTATGATTTTCATTTCTTGGTACCTGAAATGTGAAAATCTTTCACCTACTTTTGTCGTTGTACACAATCTGTCATGTGAGCAATTCACTGAGTAATCCAGTTGACGAAAGACCTAGGTATGGGTCTGAAATTTGCACCTTTCTATGTTAGGTTGCCAAATATTTATACAGAACGCCAGTTTGCACGTATTATGATTAATTTGTGATTTGACGCGACGTAAAAAGTTGAAATATTGGTATACTTAAAAAGTACAAATAATGTTTTTCCATCATACCAATCAATTACCTCCCATCCCCAATAATGTATTTTTCCTGAATAATGTATCCTCGGTGGAGTATTTCTCTTGGGTAAGTTTCCTTGTTTGAGAACCTTGAAATATGCTTGTTCATAATTTCATTGTGTTGTTTTGTGTATTTGTTTGTTAGATTTATCTCAACAACAATACTTTCACTGATATTGTTGGTTCATAGATGTTTTTTTGTGATGAAAAGACGAGAACAGGTTGTCTTTTCATGCAAAGTAAAAACGCATGACTATTTGTAAGGGGATTTTGAACACACGAAAACATATTGATTGTAACCTGTTAAATATGACTCCAATAATAAGTAATACCTACATATACTTGGGAAATTACTCAGTATCTTGTCAAAGAAATTACTCAAAGTTTAAAACCTAATTTGTCATACAGCATTATTTTAACTATGATCATTGTGTTGATTATTTGGTATATTATTCAGTAGCTATTTCCTACTTATATTTACTATTATTTTTGTATGAAGCCAACATCAAATTTTGATTTAGAATGGTAGAAAATGGTATTTATTCTAGCATTTGTTTACAAGGATGACCAAGACTTTTAGTGTGTCAACTTGAAGAAAATTACTTTTAACATCTTCATAATGATAAACAATACTTTTGGAAAATATAAATTTAAAAGTACAGATAATGAATCACAAGTGTTTCTAATTATTCTATCGACACACCATTACAAATTGGGGATTGATATTCACTCCAATGTAATGCAATTTTGCAAAACATATATCCAAGCTCACACATTGACTTTTTTACTTCATTTGCCTCTAATCCATGCATGCCTTAAGACACAGATATTAGGCATTTACATGAGATGTGAGCAGCTCATAGACAACCAACCAATTGTAAATATCATGGGATAATAATGCTTGAACGGTGATACTTGTAAAAGTTTACATAACAGAAATTGAAACAAGCATCATTGACAGCTTGTTGCATAAAGACCTGCCAGTTAGGTTCCAATTGTAATCTCGGTTAGGCCATGATCTAGGCCTTCATGGGGATCGCATGAAACACTAAGTGCCACTCCCATTCCAGCCTCAGTGAAGACTTCTCCTTAACGAAGACATTACGATACTCGACCTTGGTTTCTCAAAACAGAAGGAAGCATTCTAAACAACGATGGAATCCACCATTTCTATTCAGAAGAATTTGAAATGCGAATGGATTACGTTTAATTGCGCACTGAAGTGCATTCAAACACTCATCTCACATCATGAATGCGCAGACTGTGCCATATTCCAGTACAACCCAGTTACTGCAAGGAACATTGTAACTTTGGTCCTGATAAAAATGGATATCAACTATTTTGTATATGAGCCATGCAACCTGAGCTGCATATTGTGCTCAGCCTGAAATGGAAGCACAAACGCTACAAAGGACTAAATCAGACATGTGCTTATGTAACAGGAAGACCTTACGAGCCAGAGAATGTTGACGGCGTGAGAGCGTAAAATCCAGGAAGATGAGGAAAATGGCTTCAGGAAAGATCATTAGGGTATCTGTCATCAGAATGTTCTTCCTCACTCGCTTCTCCTGTTGAAAAGTCTTCACCAGTTGTAGTTGCCTCATCCTTAAACAATCCACTCAAGCAGTCAGCGTTCTTAGTGTTGCTTAGTTTGCCATCGAATTGATCCAAAGCTCCGAACTTGGTTGCCATCAGATAGATTACCATTTCCACTACTTTCGACGTAGGGAGGAGCTCATCTGGTAGAGGCGGATAGCATCGAGGCATGTGTTCAGGTTTGTCTCGATATTTTGAATGGAGACCAAACACTGCGCGACAAAATATGAACCTGAAAATTGTGAAACTCAACAAGATCAAATTCCCTGGCATGATTAAAAGGACGACGTCATTAAAGTAAACATTGTCGTAGAAGAGAAACTGTAGCAAACCATAGCAAGTTTATACCTGCAAGTTAATTGACGCAAAAACGGATCTCCGAGTATCCTTGCCCAAGCAGGGTCAATCATCGCCGAGTCTAAGACGTTACCCCATTCAGCAATAAGTGTGGCAAACAGTCTCTCGGTCTGCTCAAAATTTCCCTGCGCATGGTATTTCTTGTACGCATTATTCGACAACATCCTTGTATTAGACCATGAATGTTAACGCCGAAAAACCATGGGCTGATGAATCTGACGAGGGTTCAAACCTGATTCAATCCTCAAAGATGCGAATAAAGTGCAACTTATGCATGTCAAGACGCGGTTGCGACAAAGATTCATTACCTTTGACATGTTCTTGCTGGAAGACTGGATTACTCGGCAGAATGCAAGCAGTGGGGCAGTAAGAAAGAATGTAAACATGTTGCCGCTGCTCTTAGATGAAGAATATGTCGAAGTTGCGCCTTCATCTTCCAAACCCACCAGGCTAGGAGATAGCAGCAGTATTGCTTGTTCTCCTCTTTCTTCTCCTATAATGGACTGTGAATGACAGGAAAGTTCACTCCTTATGTAGTAGTAAGTACAGTATTCTTATGTACAAGAACCAACAGGCATCAAAATGGAATTCAAATATGAAACCATGTAGATGATAAAAAAAAAAAAAAATACACGATAATAAAGGCCTAGACATGAAAATTGTTGTGACACTACCTCAAATACAAAGCTATTGGCGCTATCAATTATGATGAACAAAGGCCGCCGTGTGAATGGGAGGATGTCAATTGGATAAAGAAAGTTGAAACCTGTGTATTCAAAATTACTGTGATCAGATAACCCTGTCAGCTACGATACGATTGAAATCATTATCTGCAAACTGAAAGAAATGTCATGAAACTAAGGGCACAGTCTAATATCCTACCTGGACTCCTCTTGGATCCAAGCCATAAACCAGGAGATCCGACTCCCCGAGGTTCTGATGGTGAATATTTCGCTCGTATTTCTTTCGTGTTGGTGGCTGTACTGGGTGTTTTCTCAAATTCATCCACTACTGCTATCTCAGCATCAGGGATTACTTCGGTGTGTGGAACATAAGAATTTGCATTCTTCAAGCTCAAAGTAGGCGTGAGAGAAACGACTCCTTTCTTTGATGGTTGAGGAGCTTCTCCCAAATCCTGAGTTGACATGCTCATCGAAAGACTACGACCTGACCTTCCTACAATCACCAATGAACAAGGACAGACTTAGAGGCTTGACAGACGTTGACCGAAGAAGTTAATACAAATAAAATACAATGATATAGTCAGATTCAGAGCTCCACTCACCAGAGGCCGAAATGTAAAGAAGAGCGATTCCATCACAAGGAAGCTCATCACAAGCAGTAGCCAAAACCTGGTATCGGAGAGCACAATGAAGTATTGACGTCTGAGTTAACCATGAGATTATAAGAACTGTAATGTTACATGTTAAATCGCCATAGACACTAGGAAAGAGGTACAAGTAACAAGAGAGTTCCTTGCGCTTTCAATATACTCTTTTGGGGAAAATTGAGAAACAATAAACCCACCAGAAGCAATTCTTGTACTGTAGGTCGGTAAAGAATATATTTGTGAGGATTCGGCGGCAAACTCGGATCGGAAATGTCCTCCGACACTCCAATTCCGCCAGAGGCTCCAATTCCCATGGATGAATCAGTACGCGCCTTAAATAGTGATCCACTTGGCTCCCATTCAAGAGCTTGTAGCATTCTGAATGTATCCAGTGTCAGCTCACTGAATTTCACCTGGCATACGCACAAGGCCATCTCCCTAATTACAATGATAATCCTTGTTACAGTATTAACTAGTATCAGCCAAAAGAAAACTTTACACGAGCTTCGTAGATTCAGAGACTGCTGGTACTTAGTAAAAATATGTGTGACATGATCATCTCCAAAAGATGGCTGGGGGACAAATAGGGAGATGGGAAAGTGAATCCTTACCTCGTGGTGATAATAGCTTGCAAGTATTGAATCCTTCAGGTGCAAAGGCTTCTTTCCCTCAACTTTGTGGACCGACGAAATTATAGACGGATGAGGATCGTAAAGAAGACAGTATCGTAAAGATCTGCTCGTTTCACAAGCACCATCGGCTTTCATAAAACGCCCAATTTCCTGAACCACTATCTTCCAATCCTTAGCATCTGTACCCTGAAAAATGTTTCCAGCACCATTCCCGCTGTCAGCAACAAATGCACGCCTGAAGTGCTTTACTTTTTATCGCTATGACATTAAGAAAATAACCTCATTCTAGAACTTCCAAGCTGTGTAGCAGAAGACTTGGTGGCAGGACTTTGCAGGGAACCAAGACAAATTTCAATTCAGAACCTAAAATTTGTGCAGCTGAAGGGAGGCACAATGTTTTATAATCCACTGACCTCACTAAAAGTTCGAGCATATTCGTCTACAAGGGACCGAAGTTGGCGCACAAGAAGTTGGACAGTCTCCCTGCGATTGAGAAGAAGACAAATGACGATGAAGCGAGCAGTATATCTAAGTTGTTTGTTTGCAAGCGCCGCATCTTTGTCAAGTTCCTTAAAATATTCTCGGCTCTGAATGGCTTGGTAAAATATATACGATTCGATAAGGAATTTGGAGTCACTAGTGCGAAGATAGTAATTGTAGTACAACTGCCCTATGCGGGATGCAATTTCTCCAATTTCCCAACGTTTCAACCCCATCTCCAACAATTTTACCCGATTGTCTTGCTGAAACTTCCATAGCTTAGAGTACACCTGTAATCTCACATGGTTCCAGCAATCAAGTCAAGATACTGCATATACATGCATTGTTGGGAAGGATTTTATTGGATCAGCTTTATCAGCGGATCTCATTTATCACAAGCTGAGGAGAAATGACTTCGAAGAAACAAATCATCTCTATACAATCAGATAAAACTTGAATATTTTACGATGATAAAAAGATCCCGTCGGGTACTGTCAAATCCGTAGCCAGACAAGAGCCCCCAACTACAGAATACGTAAACGATTGCTTGGAATATAATCATCAAGACAAAATAGTTGCCTGCAATACAGTGGGCATCTTTACAAACTTGCTACGAAACCTGGAAAGCTTTGTGGAAGTAGAAGTCCCATTTGTTGCGCCCGTATGCAGGAAATTCTCGAAGTCTCGCGAACTTGTTATAAGCTTTATCCACTAAAGCTCGATATTCTTCACTTGTTGAATGCACGCGAGGTGCCATGGCGCTCGAGGGCAAAGCCTCATGACCAATCTACCTGGAACATACCCATCAACAAATGCCTCTGTTAAATTTAAAATCCGATCTGCCGATACAATCACAAAAGCCTCTGGGCACTAAAAGCGTAAAAATCTGCACACGCCGAAACCTACACCAGAGACACACTACAATAGCATACAAGCTCTCAAATGCATTGTCTCCCTCAGCAGCACAGCAGGCAGAATACAACAGCTTCATTGCGTTCAGATCCTTTCTCGCAATCTTCCATCTCTCATATGAAGACTAGGCGAAATTACATATCACGACAGGTTTACAAGGTCCAAAAATTAGTTGCACGTGAAAAGTTATGGATCATAGTGCAAATCCTCTTTTATACGTCATTTTCCCCAAGTCTTTCGAAAACTTGAATATTTATGAAGCTCGTGTCTGAGTTGGCGGTATCGCTGAGCAGCTGAAAGGAAAACGGGAGATGAGTGACGTACTCTCAGATCACGTCGTCAATCTGTCCACTTCCAGAACCCACTCACAAGGTCCACCGAGACCGCTAGTTGTACTATCTACCTCCAAGTAGTACAAAGTACCGTCCTAACACCACGGGGATATTCTGCTAACACCCTAGTCCCTTGGGCTTCAGCAGTCGACACAGATGGACTATGAATGTGCACACATCATGATTGAGTGCCGTTAATTCCAACAAACAGAATTAAATCTCTCCAACGAAAGCTTCAACCGACCAAACGCAAACGCCAGGTTCTCGAAGAGCCAGAATGGTACAACCATTCCACGAAGATCCTATGTGGGGTGAAAGAAGTGCGACCGTAAGTACGTACCAGAATCACGTGTACAACATGCTCGCATATACAGATAGGTTCCAATCACGCCAAATTATGCAAGTTCTCGCATGCTTCTAGAGAACAGAGTATCACCACTGTCTTTCCATTGTAATCCCGAGCATGCTGATGGTAGCAACAGATGGCTGAGAAAAAGAAGCCGATAGAAAGAATTTCGCAACGATCATAACGTATTTGGACCCTTGTGTAACAGCAATGATATACGTAGCGCATCAGTCTGGCCGTAAGTTTCACCTCTCGTTATCCGACTGCACTCGGCGGCAATCTGAACCTAAGACTGCAGCACCCCAAAGTAATGCAACCACAGAGGGGAGGAATCGTTGAGAGCCCCCTGTTGAAACCAAAGCAGGGAGAACAAAAGAGCAAAAGTCGCCCATCCAAATGCTACTACGCTGAGAGACAACAACAATCTTGTAGTTCTCAATAATATCCCAGTTTGTGTGGGGGAAACATTTCAACAAACAAGATTTCGACCCCCACCATCTCAAATTGTGAGGAAAACAGCCCACACAAGGCACCGAGCGTGAAAGACTTCGACGATGATAAAAGCTCCACCATCAAGCTGAATATTAGGTTGCGATCGGCTGAAGAACCGAGGCACTCTAGTGATTATCGGAAACATAGACCATACACAAGCATCAGACCGATAAAGATCCCCTCGGTAACACTACGCCCAAATCCAACACCCCAAAAGCAAGACAAAGTAAGCCATCTCAGCACATTTAAACCGCAATTTAACCTATACAGACAACTCATCACAAAAGTTCACTTCTACGATCGACTAAAACAAATGCCTGCCACCTAAGACACTCCATTCCGCCACAGACATAAAATTATCAGTGCATGGAGCTGCACCTCCAAGCCTGCGCCGCTTCGAGTTTCAAACATCATGGACAACGCGCGCTCGCTGAATCCATTAATGGCAGCGCAGACATGCGTTCGACGCGGCAGCGCAGCGATGGGACCATGTGCGCCACGGCGATCGCTCGATCAGAGGATTTACATGGACTGCTGCTGGCTTGAAGGGAAGTGAGTTGGAGGCAGGAGAGGAATCTTTGCGGGCCGGGTTGTGGGAGATATGTAGGATCCGACCGAGAGCACCGGGCTCGGCAGGGCCCTAAAGTCTGGGCAGAAACATGGAGCCGATCCCACGTGAAGAGGAATTTTGCAGCGTTACAGGATTTTCCTACTATGTCCGGTTTCGATTTGTGCTAATTTCCTCCGACAATCGGCTGGATGGATTTCTATCAGCACTACAAGACGAAATAGCTGGCAGTTTTCCCGTTTGGATAATCTCATCGTTGTTTGAAGAGCATCTCACCACACCGCATACACCTGAGGATCGATGGTGCCTTGAGAGATCCCTCGAGAAATTGCTTCGATTCTTCGAAGTGGGTCGAAATCGAAATTCCTCTGATTCCAGCTGGGATTCCGAGAATCGTGATAAAATATGGTTCTTGATACCCGTTGGGGTTCGATGGAATGATATTTCCAAGGAGAACAAGAACCATTTACGGTTGCTTGTTGAACATGCTTGAGAGGCAGCAAGGGAAGAGTGTCACGATTGCAAAAACAGAACCATGCTTGGCTCCCAAAACATTCCTGTCGATGATCTGATTGTTCGGACCCTTATGGGACAGAATTTGCACAGCAGAGCGAATGTTTGCTGCAGTACAGTCCAAGCTGCTGCAGGTTTTGCCTCGATGAATACGCGTGTCAAGCTCTACCTACCACTTGGCGAGAGACAATACTGCGCGTAAATACGAGAAAAACCAAGTGGTCTGCTGCAAATAGTCCTTGGTTCTGATAGTTACGGATCAAAAATTTAACCATGCGCAGCAGCAGCAGCAGCAGCACTAGGTATACACTTATGCTTGGTTCGACTCACAAACTTTTGTTTGCTTCCTGAATAGAGCCTGAAAAGCAAGGCCAGCTTGCTAAAGCGCGTCATGCTAGTTCAATGCGGGTATTCCCCTGATGAACATTCATAGTCATATGTACAATGTCTGAATAAATGGTTGAGTTGGAAGCCACGAAGTCATCCTCCACTTCAAGCATGTTGAAAGAGGAATGGAGATACTTCACGTGGCTCGAAACTCCAGCTACGCTCAATGTGGTTCATGTGGGAGTTCAGTGTGGACAACGAGAGAAAACAAAAGGTACTCGATCCCACTACTCCACATGTCGACTAAACTCAACTCCTTACATAGCTCCGGCTTCGACTCCTACCGCTCGATGATCTTGGATATGACCGAATGGGACTTCTGCTTCTGCTTCTGCTTCTGTATCGATACCTGACTGGAGAGAGACTTCGACTTCTGCTGCGACCACGTCTACTGCGTTGTGCTATGCGGCGAGTCTCAGCAAGCTTCTCTTGTCTTTCCCTTTCCTGCTCTCTCCTCTTGCCTGCCTCTGAAACTATATCCTTCTTAATTTGCTTGCTTAGCTGCTTATTCATGATTCGTTTCAGACGCTCTTGAGGAGTTTCTTGAGACTTTTCATTTGATTGAGAGGTTTTCTGCGTAGCTGACCCAGGAGTCGCGACCTTACTCAACTTTGAAAGTGCAGAGGAAGAACACACACCAGAGGCCTTCCATTCCCGTTCTCTTTGCCGCGCATCCCAGTCAGTAGCAGATAGTCCCGAGACCGATGGCGTAACAGCAATTGCTGCTGGGTCACTGTGTAAAGCTTCGAGAATCCGTCTTGATGGGAGCGTATGACGAGGAGCATCCAGATCATGCAGCGGGGGTGATACAGGGGTAGCCATATTTCGTACCGGCTCACTGGCAGTTCCCTCAACCCCAAACTCGGTAATATACTCGATCGTGGAAGTGGTACCACATGAATTTTTCCGCTTCCTACGGTGATGGTCACGGCCATATGAGTCAGAATCGTGATAACGATGTTCCAGTCTGGACCTCGAATTAAGGGGAGAATGTGATGAAGACCTTCCTCTATCTCTTCTTTGATAAGATTGATAAGAGTCATACGTAGGACTTTTCCTCAATTCCCTGTAAGGATCATGCTGAAGAGGTCGATTACTTAGCTGCCTTACAGCCTGTTTTTCCCTCTCTCTTTCTTGCTGAGATACTTTACGACGCTCCTTTCTGCTTAGCTTTCTCATTGTTGGATCTCCTTTCACTAACTCTTTCTGCCGCCCTTCCTCCTCCTTCAACTTCCGATCAAGGCTGAGCAAGGAATTGAATCTTTGCACTCCATAATCCTGTCCAATTGACTCAATCAACTCGTCCTCACTATCTTCACTGCTGCTGCCTTCCTCTTCCTCCGCAGCTTCTTCATCACTGTCGCTCTCCCCAATCCCTGCAAGCAAAGCTTCCTCCTTCAAAGCTCCAGCCCCTGGTCCGCCCGATCCCTCGTACGCAAACCCGACCTGTCCATACGTGGGCTTCGCTGCTGCCATCGGCCGCTGCTTATCTCCTCCAATCAAGGCCGTGGATCTTGCCTCCAGCTCCTGCTCCACATCATCAAGACCCTGCTTATCGCTCAGGCCCCTACGCCGCTGCTTAATAAGATCCCGATACCGTTGAAAATTGACCATCACCTCAAGCTCGTCTTCTTCTTCCGTCTTCTCCCGCTGCAAATGCTGGAAGGCTGAAGAATTGTACTCCCGAATGACATCCAGCAACGCCCGCCCGTCAAAACGATCGATGAGGTTGTCCTCCTTCCCATTCCATGGAATTAATCCTTGCTGATCCTCCGTCGCCTGATAAATGGTAGCATCATGGTGCAGTCGGCACCGAGTCCCGACTATTCGCAACGTCTGCTGCGGATCCACTCTCCTCTTCGCCAAGAATATAGCTCTCTTCTGCGCCCGCCTTCGTGCCGCGTCCATTATTTCATGGACCTTCTTCTCCGAACGACGCGCTTCGTGCCACATGATGCCAGGATTCTCTCACCTCCCTCCGCCCTCTTTCTCTCCCTAAATACAACCCCCACTACTCAAAAGCAACCTCCAATCCCTAATCCTCTTCACGACATCTCAGCTTCAAACCACACCTCACCCTAAAATTCCACCCTGCGATCATTCCAGCCAGCGCAAAGTCCACTTAACACTGCATACGAAGTGTATGACGGCACTGTGTTGGTTCCTTCCCGATGACGACGCTCCGATTCGCGGCAATGTCGCGGGCGATGAAGGCTGCGAAGTGGGAATGACGCAGCAGCAAAACGGGCGGATGCGGAGAGGGAAGAAGCGCCGCGGGTGTAGGACCCCAGAGGAGCTTGAGGAAGGAGAGTCTGTCTCCGTCCTCGCGTTCCGTTACCGTGATTCACACACGCAAGTCGGAGCGTTCTCTTGAATGGAACATTGGAACGTCATTGAGTTCCCATGAATGACATGTTCTCCTCCTTGTGAACGCCCAAAGTTGTTCTTGGCCAAGTTCAATAAGCCTCGCTTCCCTTTTGATGCAACTTCCCCTAATGGCCACGTATATTGCTCATTAATCTCCTCTTGATTTTGTCAAAGAAATAAGTTAATAAAAAATATATGTATATATATATATATATATATATATGTATATATATTAGGAATAAAATAATCTTAATAATATATTTAAGAAAAAAAGAAGATAAGAGCAGTGATTATATATAAATTTCATATTTTAATATCATCTAAAATTTTTAAAATATTACACATAAACTTATTTTTCAATATTATTTAATAAATTTATTTACTATAAATTAAAGTTAAAATTATAATTTTTAGAGTAGAAAAAATATATATATATATATATATATATATATATATATACACATGATTGAAAAATTATATATTTTTAAACTATGATATTTTATTTATTTTTTTGGATTACTATTAAAATATATTTTTAAAACTATTTGATAATTTATAATTAAATAAATAACCAATTTTTATTTTTAATCTAACTTAAACTTTGACAACAAAAATAAGATGAATTGTAAAGTAGTCTACTTATTTATAAAAAAAATAATATAATATGTCTATTTTAAATTTATATTTATATACTAGCAAAAATCCATGTCATTGAGCATTGCAATCTTTGGCACTTCTATCCATTCCCTTATTCTCATCTTTCATGGTTCCCTTGTTCCCATGTTCTCTCATTTTCCCATATTTTTTAGTTCCTATGTTCCCCAAGTTCTCCATGTTCCTCCCATTTTATTCTTCATGGTGAATCCTTCCTTCTTTTTTTTCTTTTTTTTTTTTTTTTTCTTTTTTGTCTCTTTGTATAATATCCGAATTGTCTTCTATAATAGAAACAAATGCATACAAATATTATGTATTTTCCATTCTTTATCTTTTTAATTATTAATATTATATTCCTTAAAATTTATGTATCTTTAGGTATTGTTCAAAAAATAGATTCAATACTAATCTCAAATCCTTTGTTATGATAACATCATAGAATAATATAAAATATAAAATAATTATGAACATTAACATATATTAATCACATAATAACTATTTTATATATTTTTTGTAAATATATGTATTTCTTGAGATTTACAAATAAAAAAAATAACAATAAACAAAACAAAACAAAAACTTAAATAAAATGCTAACATGCTAAAATAATTAACGATTAAAAGGTTTATTTATTTGTAACTGTAGTATGGCATTAAAGTTTTCCTTTTCTGCACCTTTATTGATTTACATTTATATAAAATATGTTTTGGTTCAGATGAAATGAAGAAGCTTTAATTTGTAAAAATTATCGAATTCTAATGATGGACTCAATTGTTTTCTTTTAGTTTTAATCACAACTACTTGTTTTAAATTATGATTAAGCAAACGTGATTATTTCAGAACACTTATCAAAATGCTTAAGTTTCTACTTTTTTTTTCTTTTTCTTTTCTTTTTTTTGTTTTGAGAGACGTTTACTTCTTTGGATTACATATTTACATATTGCCACTTTTTATACTGTGAACAAAAAATTCTGACAACATCAATTATTAGACTATTTAATGATTCTTGATTTATTTTGAAAAACTTTCATTAAATGTATATTGATTTTGATATATATATATATATATATATATATATATATATAGAAAAAAATTAAGGTAAAACTAAATCATTATCATTTGATCCTGCGATGGCAAATAGTTTGAGATGGTTCATACAAAATTTTGCAGCATTTCATATCAATCATTCTATTTATCCATCTTCAAATTTAGATTTTGACAAATTCGAAGAAAAATACTCAACCGACAGTACCTTGGTTTTGAATAGATTCACTATAGCAGCTCACCACATGCTTGGTTTGCAATTGATGATAGAAATCATAGTTTGATCATCTAAATCATAACCATTCTCTCAGTATACTCTTGAAATGTAAATGTAAAGCTCACTAGGGCATTAGCAACACCACCACAACCACAGCGTCACCACCGAAAGGCTTCACATCGTTGTACACCACCTGGTAGCGATGGTGATTTGCAACGCACGGTTAATGGACTGAATCCAACCTTTTTAGCTGAAAACACAAAACACAAGGATGACATGATGACGATGATGATGCTACTGCAGTTGCATTCTGAGTTTGTGTGAAGAGAAAGAATATGGGTACCTGAATTGACCACACCGGACTTCGCTGGATTTTTTCTTGATTGAGAGGACTTTCTCATCCTGAGGCTGGGGCATGGCGTCCAAGACGTCCTGCATGTTGTACATTGTCTCTTAGTTTTCCACATTGACTATTTTTTGGACAATTAGTAGGCTCTGTGGACATTGTTCGAGTGCCTCCGTCACCTACTTCCGCTTTGATTGCATCAGCGGTATATTTCTCGAAATGACCAAAATTCAGTTGAAGACAACAACGCAGACAGCTAAAGAGTTGATGTGCACAGTCTGACACACTGTAGAGCCAGCTTGAGGACGGAGGTACGTTAATGGGCAGGTTGGGTGATAACCTTCAATTCGTTTGGTACTGTAGCAGTTGTTGGAGCCTTCCCTCGAATGGGTACCCGTGATCGAAGCGAAGTTCCACTACAGGGCGGCGAGTCCGTCAGATTTTGGTTGATAACAGCAGCCATCTTCCATGCTAATCTAAAAATGAAACACAGTAAGCTTGCTGTTTTTGGTTCGGCATTGCAATGTAAATGTGCTGCAAACTGGTTTCATTACCCAATGCAGCAAAGGTTAATTCAAAGCATGTTCAGGGCATTAGAAGCATGAAGATTGGCTACCATAGGAGCTGATTCGCTTAAACAACAAACATGGTCGTTACAATTACCACCAAATTTCCCAGGTTCTCTTTTTATTACAACACATTCATCCATCTCGCCACCAAGTTCAGGATCAGCGTCGACCAAAATCTCACATTTGCTACAATTCATGAAACATGATTTATTTCCTTGTTTTCCCTGAAAAACGACAAATTTCAAAAATAAGAGCACTACTTATCCTCGTGGGTTCAAATTCTAAGATCTGTTTCGATTTTAGATAAAGATTCGTGGAACAGTTCTAATGAGATTGTCATTCAACATAGAAATGCCTTCAAGATATCAATACATGATGTCATGGCACACACAAAGCCTTGTTACGAGTTCGCGACCATAGTATACCTGTCCCTTGGCGTATTCACCTGCCTGAAACCTCTTTTCCTGCTCTCCCACCTTGGAAAGAGGGTTTAAACCTGAAGTACTGGTGGTGTGAGCCGACTTAAGATCATTTTTTGAAAAATCCATAGTTGCTGCTCCGTGCACGCTTTTCGAGAGAGGGATTAACAATTGCAGTCCAAATAACGTTAACCATGGGTGTTCCATGATGCTTGGCAGAGAGATGCGTATCTTGGGATCTTTGACCAATATAAGTTTCTGCACCACAAAGTTTGAACGCACTTTGGATGGTCCCGACGTCTTTTACCAGAAGCCGAGATATAGTTTATGAAATCTAACGACCAACAAACAAGAAGTCTTTGAGACTGTTTCATTATCCTGGAATTTGGTTACTGATATATCTGTCAATCGAAGATCAGTAACAAAGGCCTTGCTGTATCGAGTGTAACAAATTTGATGCTTGTTATATGGTTGACTTTGAAGAAGAGTACCAGCAGATCCTTGAGCTCCTTAGAGATTACAATGGATGGGTGAAAAGAAAGCTGCAGACCCCTAAATACACAACCGTGTCAATTTGTCATTCACTGTAACATTAACCACAATATCCGTTGTAACTTCCATTGCAACATTCTACAACTTTTGCACAGGTTTTCGAAGCTGCTCTAGACTTGGATTCGGAGAATAATTTCCATTTTATTGACCTTCCTGCTGTTCTGCTTCTTGTTGCACTAAGCAATTTCTCTTCCACACTTTTGGGTTTTATGATTGACGCAAGAACCAGTGAATCCGGAGAGGGTTTCAACCCCATTCCAGCATAACAGATTTCGAACAAACATACAAATTAAAATTATCTAAACTAAATTTATGCGACTCTTAAGCTTTTCCGAGCAGAAACTAACTACGTCAGAGGTACGCACCTGCTTGTGCTGAATGGCATGGTAGATGTCCGGGATGGTCTTCCCCGAGAATGGAAGAGTACCGAAGACGAAAACATACAAGCAGACCTAGATACCAAAAGTATTGCGATCAGCTTTCAATTCGTGGAGCGAAGAAATCTGAATAGAGATCAGTCAAGTGCTGAGTAGAAGAAGGAACTTTTCTAGTTTAAATACGAGAATATTGATAACATGACCTTATGATATCATGAGTGTTACCACATAGATGTGGGATAATGTCATTATCATAACGAAGAAATCTCACCCCAAGTGCCCATACGTCAACTGGGCGCCCCTCAAAAGAACTCTTGGTGCACGCCTCAGGAGCAAGAAAAGCAGGAGTGCCAGCGGTGGAGCTTAATGCATCCGTCTGCACAATCCGCCAGCATGCTCATCAGCTTTTCAGTTCATTTTCTGAGAACTTCATTGTTCTCGGGAAGAAGGTAAAGAAATATAATTGCAAAATTCTACTGTTACAATCGGAGGTTCGAATGTGACTTTGAACATGCAAAGATTGCAATAGAGTTTTCTAAGACTGTAAGCAATTAAGGTTGTAAATTGATCAAAACCATGCATTTTCCTGACAAACTGTGCACGGAAGAATCGCAGATTGCAACAATTCTTGAATTAAATAATTCATTTAGGTTATGCCTCAATCATGGCTATATCTCACCGAGAAGTGCCGTTTACATGCTTGTTGGATCGAAATATTTTTCGGGAGAAGAAAACTACGGCTTTTCTTAATAGTTTACAATTTGTAGGATGTTATGTCAGAGCCACGAGAGGTAATGTTAGACATGAGACAAGTGACCAGACAGGACGTGAGAAAAGCAGAACACGAAAACCAGAAATCGAGAAATTACAAGCTGAAAGGAAGTGCACCGTCTCAAATACTTGAGAGACTCCAAAATCGCTAATTTTGATGCGTCCATCAGCTGTCTGTAGCAAATTTTCAGGCTTCAAATCTCTGTGCAAGACCTAGAAGATAAAAAAAAAAGTGAGATTTGCACTGATATTTTCTTCGCTCTTGAACCGCATCGATACAAATAGCTCTGAAAAATTGTCTACCTTCTACGGTTCATGTCCAAGGAAGCACGTTTGCAGTTTCATCACCGTATTTCAGTACAAGTTGTAAGAATCTGACCTTATGGTAATGAAGGTAATCTAATCCGCAGCAAATATCACGAAAATACTTCTGAGCCAGTTCCTCTGGAAAAGCAATCCACCTGTTGTCTTCCATAACAGGTCCACCTTCCACGTATTCTAGCACTAGGTACACCTTCCTCTGCTGAACGTCGTCTATTACCTGTCCTTGTAAAAAAATGTTCATTAAATTAGACTTGTACGGTTCTAGGAAGAGGCTCTTTCTCGGCCCTGTGTATACGCATACAAAGAGCTTCTACCCTAAGTACTTAGAAATATATTGGCTGCAGGCGTTTAACATCATCCATCGTGTAATGCTAGTGCAATATCAATCCATGCATGAATGTATATTAAAAGCCACCTCATGCAACGCCACGATATTTGGGTGATGAAGCTTTTTCAATGTCGCAATTTCGTGCACATACTCCTACAATAAAGCGGTGAGCACATTGTCAGCAAAGGGAAAGACGTGCCAGATGCCAAATTCGGTCAACATAGGTGTCTCTGAGTATACCTGGAGCATGATGCTGTCACCGTCCTCGTTCAAGAATCTGCGATCTCTGAGTCGTTTGCGATCAACGACCTTAACAGCAAATAATTTACCATCAAATGCATTGAGGCAGAGCTTAACCTGCAATGTACTGACACACGAGATCGTCAAACATTTATCATCCGTGTACTTTTTGCATCACCTCATTTGCATGATGGCAATGTCAGGGAAGTTTTTATACTGTGTGTATATTCAACATGACAGTACTAGTTCACCCATGAAAACCTTAGCGCAGATCTTCTGAATATGATCGACTTTTCCTCTTATTGCCAGTGGGACCCAGGTGCTGACCTTTCCGTAGCGTCCACACCCAAGAAGCTTGATAACGATATACTGGTTCAAATATCTATACCCACAATCCCCCCATGATCAGGTGACCCACTTCGACACAACGAACAATTCAACACACAAATCATCCAATACGAAACATGTGCTCACCAAATGATCACATGAATGACATTCCAATTCGACACCACTCATAAGGTTCAAACACTCACAATTTGAATCCACCCTAGCATTCTGATCTGTTCAACAACACTTAACATTCTGCCGCCAATTAAAATTCCCCAAGAATCAACCGTTGACCCTGCTCTAAAAATCGGGCCTAATGCCATTCCCCGTGCATTTAATCCAGACATCACTCACTTGTTCCCAAACGCATCCACCGCTCGAACCAAACGGTGGGAAGTGCGTAGCTGATGCGGGCTGGACAACGCATTGAAGGGGTCACCAATGAGCAGCGGTACGCCAGGGGTAGGGAGTCCAGCAAAGTGCCCGGCCAAGATGGGGTCCTGCAGAATGCGCTCCTGCACAGCGATCAACAACTGTGGCCTCTGTGTCTCCCCCTCAACGAAATCACGCGCGTCGGCCTCAGGGGGTCGCGTTTGCTCTGTGGGAATCGCCGACATCCTTCACAACTCCTGCCCAAAAAAACAACAGAATGCGGTCGCTGCCGACTCAAAAAAACGCATCGAGAAGACGATGGCGATGGCATCGTTGGTGGTAATGCTCAATTGCTCAATTGGGGTCTCTTCTTCTTCTCGATCCGTCCCCCCCTCGAAGCTCATGAGACAATCAAAACCAGTTGAGCTTCGTGAGCCGCGTCGTTGCGTCCGCCCCACAGACGGCGGTGAACGTCGCGGCTCCGTAACGGTAACGTACTGTACGTAAAGATGGCTTGTATTTCGTATAATATTATTTCGGTCCCGGTCCTCACTCACCAGTGTGAACGCATGTGTGGGCTGAGGGGGATAATTATGTGATCCCCTGAATGTTGTATTTACATACACCAACACCGGAGTCCCGTTTATTATTATTATGATTCCTAGTTTTGAGAGCTTGCTTTGGGAGGAATAATTATTAATGCAAGTTATGGATGTATAATAATGTACACTATAATTCAAATAATGTAATTAAGAATTAAACAAGTATGTTTTTAAATTCAATCTTGTACAAAGTATCTTTTGGAGAATTGGATTAGACTTGTGAAGGAAGAAGAAAAAAAAAAAAAAAAAAAAAAAAAAAATTGTTACTACTATTTAATTACATACATATAATCATATGTTTAAATCGTCTACAGCTAATGTATGTATCAATGGATATATCTCAAAAAAAATTAAAACCAAAAGAAAACAGAAAAAAAAAAAAAACAAAAAAAAACAAGGATAAAAAATATTATATGGTGAGTATTTTTTGTAAAAAAATAATCACAAACGTCATGTAATGTTCAATTGATATCTTTTACCCTTATTCAAATAATAGAATGTTAATTTACTTCACTTTAAAGGTTAGAGCTCCTACTGTGACAGAATAGAACAAAATGAGAATCTTTTCAAATGGTATAGATTTTATTGTAAAAGAGATTTTCATATTTAATTACTAAAACCAAAGTCGGAGTTTGTTTTAAAAAGAAAAAAATTGAAGAAAAAAAATTAAATTCCAGAATACAAGACTTTTAGTTATGTTACAAAATAGATATTTTTGGTTGATTGGTTGGTTTTATCTTTATTCTTTTATGTATGACGATTTTACAAATTGTAAAAACTCATAAATTTTATCCTTAGAATTTACCTAACAAAATTAGTATTTTTAATTAAGAGTTATTTGCTTTATTTTTGCAAGTCAAAACCAGGTGCATTATTTTTGTACTTTCGAACTTGTAATGAAAACTTTAGATATATTCCAAATAAAGCTTTTTCTAAAGGACTATTCGAACTCCAAATAAATAAATATATAAATATATAAATGATAAAAATACTCAAATCGCTTCTCCGTCCATATTACTTCAAATTTAAAATTATAGCCAAGAATTCAATTACTCTAAAGAAAATATACTGAACAATTCGACCAATCAAAAACAATACTAAATATCATAAAATATATAAATTAAAACCCTTGACATACGGGAGGCAACGTAGAATAGTGAGTCAAAGTAGTAGAATAGTGAGTTCAAGAATTCCGAGCCATGCCGAGGCTTTGGTCTGGTAAGGGCCGAGGCCAAGTTTTTAGGTCAGGGATTAGGTTAGGGAGTCGTCTCTCTGTTTCCGCCAGGGCATGGCCATGGCTGAGTCTCCCTCTTTGCTTTCGCATGTGCCAGCTCCCGCGAGTAGGCTCTGGCGCAAGGCCCCCGACACCACCATCACCACCACACTGCGGTACTCACCATGGCCATGGGACGGACTGTTCTCCACATGCCTTCGGGCCACACCGGCGTGGTCGCTAAGCTCCACCCGACTGTGCTCTTCAACATCTGCGACTCCTTCATCCGCCGCAACGATCAACAGGAGCGTGTCATCGGCACCTTGCTTGGCTCCATCTCCGCGGACGGAACCGTCGAGATTCGAAATTCGTACGCCGTGCCGCACAGTGAGCAAGCCGATCAGGTGTGTTGCTCGTTTGACGTCTGATAGTCGGTGATCTATATGACAGCTTCATGCATTGTAGGTTTTTTTCGGGGTAGCTTAGATCTGTTGTCTCGTGTGTGGAAAGTTGAAGTTTGGAAGGATAGGTTGAGTTTGAATTCGTCGAAGATTTTAGCAGTAAGTTCAACTTGTTTCAGATGGAACTGTATACTTTTGTGTGTTGGAGGAATTGTTGCTGCAGTTTTTGTTTTCTTTGATTACGTCAGAGCGCAATGTGCATCACGTAATGCGACTTGTTAGTAGAATTCAGGAGGTGATTTAGATTTGTACCGGGTTCACTCATCTGCCCGTGGAGGAAGGTCATGCCTACCGTCAGACGATTTGTCCAGTTTGGTCTTGCGTAGATATTTGCCGTATTGGATCTTCTGTAATGTAGACTGGTTGTGGTTTAATTGCCAGGAGAGAGGTTGCGTGATTTGCTCTAGTGATTGATTGGGAATCAAGAGTATTATGAACCATCGGGACTCGAGTTCGTGAATTGGTCGTGTGGTATGTTTTTGGGACATGGATAGGTTATTGTGCACAGTTCCAATGGATCTGGGTAATTGGAAAACAGCTTAATGAGTTACTTCAATTCTAATATAATTTTGCCATCATTCTCGTTATTGTTATTTTGAATTCTTCACTGAATTTCGTTGTGTGGCGATGCTAAAGGTAGCAGTAGATATTGACTACAACCGAACCATGTACGAGTTGCACCAGCGCGTGAATCCCAAAGAGGTGGTTGTTGGATGGTAAGTACTCGACGTTTGCGCACCTCCTGAGGAACATGGGCATCGACGTGGTCGCATACGCATGTCAGATACCATTACACATTCTTCTCGTGCATGAATCATTTAGCTCCTGGCATCAGCAGTAGTTTTTAATTAGCCAAGCTGGCTCTTTACCTCGCACATGCAGCGTCGTCTCCAGACTCCGCAATGTACTGACATTTTCCGGCAACTTGCAGGTACTCGACAGGTTCTAGTTTGAGCCCTAGTGACACACTTATTCATGACTTCTACGGTAGAGAAGTGGCCAATCCTGTGCTGCTCATTGTGGATACTGCTTTTGCGGAGGAGAAGGTCAACATCAAGGTTTTTGTATCCACTCTTCTTACTCTTGGAGAACGCCAGCTGGCTGCACAATTCCACGAAGTTCAGTTGGATTTGCGACTTGTCGAAGCTGAGAGAATAGGATGTACGCAATTTTGTTAACCCTTGCTGGCTTTCAGAGGAGTTGGGCGTTCATACATCTTCAAGTCGTTGTGTGGGTACTAGTGCGTGTATTGCTAATGACATGGCCTACTAGGTGTACGATTTTCTGGATCATGAGATAGTGGATTAGTGGTTTTTTGAGTATGGTCCATTAGGTGTGAGTACGCTAATGTTGCGGATGCGTATTAATTGGTGTAGGATGTTGTTAGTTCCAAAAGCTTTGTCAGCAATGCATGGGAAACTACTCAAGAGATCTTATTTTTCAGATTCATTTACTTAATGTGTTTCCTGGCAGTTGACGTTTTGAAGAAGACCATGGTGGAGAAGTTGCCGAATGATCTCGAGGGGTTGGAAGCAACTATTGAGAGGCTGCAAGAAATGATTGATAGAGTTTTCAGATATGTGGATGATGTTCTGGTAGACTGTTTCCCATCGAATGATTTTTGTAACTGCTTGTTATTTGGCAAATTGTAACAGATATGGCCGTTGAATATATTTCTTTTTCAAGATAACTTTGCTTTGTAGTTTTTTTAATTGCTGACGATCGCTTCGAAGGTACTTACATTCTTGTTTTGCTGTGGATGCAGGAAGGGCAAATTGAGCCCGATAACTCTATAGGCAGGTTCCTTGCTGACACGATGTCAGCCGTGCCACGAATCTCGTCTGATGCTTTCGACAAGCTCTTCAACGATAGTGTCCAGGTAGGCCCTCACTTCTGGTTTAAAGCTCGAATTTAGCATAACTTTTTCTCATCGACCATCTGAAGTTTGGGTCTATTGATTCTGTTCTGTTTTTACTTTGTCCCTCAATAGAAAGATGATTTTTCATTTTCCTTACCAATACCGAGCAAAACAAGTAGCTTGGGTCATGCAGCCATGAAACCTTTTATTTTGCACAAACGTCACATTTATTATGGTTATTATGCTGACCTCTTTTCTATCATATGAATTTTGTTCCATTCTACGCAGGATCTTTTGTTGGTGTTGTACCTGGCGAACCTTACGAAAACTCAGCTCACGTTAGCTGAGAAACTTAACACAGCTGCCCAAATATTGTAGTTTGGAATTTGGCGGAAATCTTTACCTAGAGAGCATTTTATCTGCACTTTTGACCTTCCCCTTTTTTTATAGTTCAACGTGCGAGTCTTTCACAACCAACTGTGGTTATGAGGTGTTACATCTTTTTCTGTATTTTTTCCCAGAAAGTATCACAGAAACGCTTATACATTTTCGATGCGAAGAAAATTTTGGTTTATGATAATCTTGAACTCAACACCACTTTCAATGTATGCTTCCTGAGTGCCTTTCATGCGATTGTGTATTTCTACCTCAGGATATACAGGCCAAAGTAAAAGCTCTATTCACAAAACACTTGATTTACTGCCTAAGCGAACGGTGTACTCTCCACGACCCAGAAACAGGGTTTGCTGTCGAAAGCTGCTTGGCGTCTCCACGCGTGTGAAATTGCCTATTATTTACGAGTCAACATCAACTCAAAGAACGTGCTATACTTAATTACAGTGACATTGCCATAAAAAATTGGGGATTTGGCTCACCTGCAGTCCATTGCTGTATATTTTGTATCTGTTAAGAATTATTGCCATTAGAAGAGAATACGACAAATTTGTATAAAACTTCAAGTCACATTAAGTAGTTCAAGTGAATGTTGATCTGGTGATGATTTCCTTTAATTGGCTCACGGTTTGATAAATAAAGTTGAATAGATATGAATGAAAATGTAAGATTAATGCAATTTAAGAATGATAGTTGGAATACCTTGTTATTAATATGACAGTTTGATATTTTATACATAAAAAAACTACCTCAAAATAAAAATAAAATTTTAATTAAAGGTACAAGGCTGGCAATATTAAAAGAAATGAAACAATAAAATGATATTATAAAAGTATATTATTAAAGGCTTGTAGTTTTTAGGTATAAAAGGCTGAAGAAAATAATTTTACAAGTTTGAGATTCTTTTCATCTTGCTTATTCAATTCCTAAATTAATAAATGTGAAACCAAAGATATATTATCTATGCTTCTAATACCATGTAATATAATCTATTAAAGAAGCTTTGTCAAAAGATTTATCTCTTGAGCTTTCAAATAAACCTTTTTATAAAATATTTTCACATAAAGTTTTTACAAAAAAGTCATCTATATGTATATATATATATATATATATATATATACACATATATACAATGTTTTTCCTATCAATTAGTCTCCTCAAAGTTAATAATTCTCAATAATTGATTCAAAATTTAGGAACTAACTTTGTTTTATGGTACATAATTAATAAGCTGTTATTTATAATAATAGATTGATTTTGATTGATGTTTATTTAATGAAAAAAGTAATTAACAAAGGCCACATGGTTGGAAGTGCCACATAGAATATATATATATATATATATATATATATATACATATAATTAGGTAAAGTAATGCCACATGGCTGCGACAATGGAAATAAGTTAATTAAGTATCACACTTATTGGTAGTTTGTAGAATAAGTTTACTATGTAGCGCACATATATAAAACTTACCTTCCAAGTTAAGATATGTATCTTATAAAGTCAACACGTATTACAGGTCTTATAGAACATCGCCATGTAACTCCTAATTAAATACAATATTTAGATATAAGAATGAAGCCTTCTTTACTCTTATCAATGCCTTTCTAGTCCTTAGTCTTGTTTCAAGACTTTCTAGTCTTTTTGTCTTTTGCAATAGCCATTCTAATTCAATATATTACCATCTTTGAATGATTTCTTAGTCTTTTTGACTAACATAAGAGTGTATTGAGATTGTCTTTCTTTGAGATTTATGTCCTCGAAACTAATCTATCTTCGTCTTTAGTTTCCACTATGGATTTAGTTTTCAAAACTTGGTGATTTCTATTACTGAACCTAATCAACAATTTGATCCAAAATTAGAAAAGTTATATAGACAAGCAAGTAGGAGGATTACCTAAAGAAATCCTCTATCTTCTAAGTTTCTATATTGGTTGTAGATGTTAAAACCATTCTATTATCAATCATCTTATTGATCTTGAAAACATAAGAAGAAATCAAGATTTTTTTTAGAATACAAAGACATTTCTTGTCACTGTAGCAAGTGTTTAGAATTAAAATGTGATGCTAAAGAGTGTCTTCAAACCAAATAATAAGTAAGAAAGAAAGAAAAAAAAAAAACAATACACAAAATCAATTCTTAACAATAAGCATCCTATGCAAGCAGGCACAACCAAGTCTCTCTATGCATCACTACAACCCTTTAATATTATGAAGGCCAAGAACCATAAAAATACTCTCTTTACTATTCTAGCTAATAGTATAAAACCAACCTTGTAATAAGAGCAAAAGACAAAAGATGGAATGACCATGGACATTGTGATAGTCTACGAGGCAACTTATTTGCTATGGAAACATGCCTTCCATCTTCATTTGACAATGCTACAAGTTTGTCATTGGTTGTAATGGATAGATAATAAAATCATCTATAATTGACTAATTAATGCTATTGGCTCCACCTCCTAGCAAAAATCAACTAATTGCTTCTAATCTACTTATAGAATAAGTATGGAAAATTTTAAATTTCTTAGGCACTCCTTGTATAAGGAAAAAAAGACTTCAACTTTGGCCAATTATACACACAATCTCCAAAGATTTGAAAACCTATTTCTTAAGTGTAATCCATGAAGAGCTACAAGGCACTTATATCTTCTTTCTATTAAATATTAAACATATCTTTGAGAGCCTCTAGGAGTTGTGTTGGAAACAACTCCAAACAAATATTATTATCAATCTTCGACTAAAGATCAAAACTTTCACTAACAAAAAAAAAAAAGAAAGAAAAAAAATCTAAAGAATTAGCAACTAATAGATCCTAAACATAGGTTACTGCATATGCTATGTACTAGCCTTTATGGATATGACTCCAAAAGATGATACTTTTTATTTTGACAAAATTCAATATTAATAGACCGATGCCGAAGACTTAAAAGATGTATGTGCATTTTGATTGGGACCTCTCATGAGAAGAGTATCACCCAATGAAGTTACTAGCTACCTATTGGAAAATTGGTTCTAATGAAGAACAACCATCAGATCAAAGAGTAGAAACTCTAGATGTTGTTGCTTCAAAAAAATAAACTCTTTAGAAAAAAAGGCTCTTCAAGCCAGCTAATTATAAAAAAATATATTGAAAAATTAGAATACTAGCGTGAATTTAATACATTGACAAAAAGAGCAAAGCAAGTAACTATGCCCACTCTTGCAATTCACCACAATGAAACTTCATAGTCAACCCTAGCTCTCACACATGATCGTTTTTTTATTAAAAACAATATGCAACCTTTTTACACACTCTTTTTCATCTTTGGCCATGTCCATGATGTAAATTAATATAATATTAAAAAATACCTTTAAAAAAACTACCAAATGTATACTTATTAGCTGCAATGAATATTGATTGATTTGGCTCATAGTGCACATGTCTACTATGGCCTTGGTTTGCCTCAAAACTTCAAGACTCTCATTATTGAAGAAATCTCAAAATTTCTCCTCTTCAATGATACTTCCAATTAGGCTTCCATATTAAAAGTCTACTATTTTTCTATAAGTAAGATCTTAGTCTTTGAGATGCAACACATCATTGTATTATTTATCTTGCAACTTTATACTAATTTTGTAATGAAGTAGCATTTCAATTTAAAATTTAAGACCTTTTAGCTGTTGCAAGAAAGCACTACTCTATTTCTACCATAAGACATGATTAAAAAAAACTCTCTATCTACTACTAATAATTGATAATAATGTGTGTATAGTGTCGAAGAATGTGTGGAGCTTATCTAGCCTTTTCATATATAAGGTCAAACAAAGCCACTTTCAAGCTCATCTTTGTATATTTTATATATAATCAGGTTTGGTATTTATTTAGGAATATAAAATGATATAAATTTTTTGCATGAAGATTGGTGCATTGAAGATGAAGCACAAGAAAGACCTCTAGAACAAGAAAATTTAGAATCCCATTTTAAAGAGCTTCAAAGGGAGAACCAAAAATATTTTAAGCTCCTTGATGAAACAAAAAATCATAGATTATGTAGTATTGATCTTAGGAAGAGCCTAATAGGTGATTCTAAACTTAGATCACAAGTATGTAGGTTTTTTAAATATTTAAGCTTCCAATAGAGAAAACAATATAGAATTTTTTTGGAATACAATCAATATTGGCCTTCCTGCAACATCTTCATTGAAACTAAGTATAAATATTAAAATAGACTTGCTTAACTTGGATTGCATTGGAAAAAAATTTCACCAATTTGTGTCTAAAAGAGCATATAAAATGAGATAATTTGACATTGCAATACAAGCTAGTAGATATTTGGTTATATTGTAAGTCCAAATTTCACCTCTTGATGAAATTGATGCCACTCAATAGATTCAAGAAGTAGAATGGAGGAACTCCCAATTGTGTAAATACGAAGTTAATTTAAATCTTATTGTTTGTAGTTCAATTAGTTTAATTCCCTCCAAGCAATGATTATCGATATTAAAAAAAATATTTAATGAAATTTACTATAGTCTTTCAAAACTATTTGCATGATCTTTATTTAAATGCCATAAGTTCTTTCAAGACCATTTATATGATCTCTACTTAAATCTCTTATTTGTTAGGCTCATAATTTAATTTATCAATAAAAAAAAGAAAAAGAAGATAAATAAAACTTTTGAAAGCCTCATAATATCTTTCAATAAGAAAAAAACAAAAGAGACAAATAATGAAGATGGAACAACATCAATTAGACCAAAGTTGGTTGTTTTAGGATTCAATTCACACAATTCAAGATCATTTTCATAACCTTTACTTCACTGTGGTTGTTCTTTCAATACCACTCATATGGTGTCTATTCAAATGCCATTAGATTGTTCAAACCATTCATATGGTTTCTACTTGATCATTGATAAACCATTCAGACCATTTACATGGTTTCTATTAAATTTTGTATGATTATAAAATTATGATAAATTATAATAAATAAATAAAAAATAATAAAAAATAATTAATTATTACATCTTAAATAATTGATGGTAAAAGTAATCAATTAAATTCTTACCATTAATCTATAATAAAAAAAAATCTTAAAATTTAAGTTAAAAATAAAATTTAAAAATAAAAGAGAGAAGATTAAAGATTAAAATTTAAAAGTTAAAAATCCAAAGTTGAAATATGGAAGTTAAAATCTACTGTAAAAATAAAAGTAAAA